GCATTTTCCCGTAGCATAAGCTATCTTACGCAACACTCGTTCCCTCTACTAGAGAGAATCGAGGTTACGTTAGTAACTGAGAACAGTTTTTCATTTAAAATTGTGCATATACTAATTTTTTGGGGGTAGGGGTATATAAGCTAATACCTCTAGGTATCATAAAAATTGCTTATTTATAAGAATATATAATAGATAATTATTTTTTATTTTATTTTAGAACCTAATCCTAAGTTAGTATAACAACTACTTTAAGTAATTATTTAAAATAATTGACCAAAACCAACATTTAATTAATCTGTGGATTTATCAACTAATTTTGTTGATATTAACTGGTGCTAGTGTTTCAGTTTTCTTCAATAATGGAACTAAAAGTCAAATGTCATTGTATGTAAGTGATCAGTGCAACTTATTAACAGTTAAGCCTTGAATTGTTGGCTCATTTAGGTTCATTAGCTGAAACTAAGAACAAAATGATAGCTTAGCAAAATAATTGATTGTTAAAGTTATACTTTGTGGATAATACTTAAAGCTTGTTTTGAGATGGCTAGCAGTTTTTGTTTTTCTGTTAAAGTGGTCTGAAAATGTTCCCACAGGTCCATTGACCTATTCAATAAATGCAAATATATTTTGTGGTTTCTGCGAGTTGTTTATCAGGAACAGCAGGAAAAGGTGCTCCAAAAACAATGGCAGAGAGAATGGAAGGTTTATGGCCCATGTTTAATCCATTTTCCAAACATGTTCATTGTTATGATCTGTTCTTGTATTTGATCCTTTCTCTTTCAGCCTCATGAATTTGATGAATGCCGGTTTGACATCAGTGTGAATGACAGCATCTGGTACCTGAGGGCTGAACATCCTTTGCTGCGGCAGCAGTGGATTGATACCATCGAACTTCACAAGGTGAGTCCCTCAGAAGCAGCAAGATAAACTGCTCCAGCTCCAGTGTCTTTTTGATAGTGAGTGATCATGTTTATGTTGCAGAACCTGAATGGGTGTTTTTTTTATTTCCTCTGTTGAGGAATGGAGGGTGTTTGAGGCAGTGGAATGTGTCCTGCATGCCTTTTTTTCTTTTTTTTTTTCTTTTTAGCTATCATTTCCTTGTACACAGAAGAGCCACTGTGGAGTCCTTTCTAGAGGATTTTATAGTATGTACCGAATTTGATAAAGGAAGTTGATAAACTTCCATCCATCTCAGTTATTGATTAAATTTGTTTTTTTTCGGTATGCAGGTGTGGTAGATTAATGACGTGATGCTTATTTTTTGTCAGATGATCTTTTAATTTATTCAAATGCAATTCATATTGTGACTTGGATAAACCTTGACTTTGAGCATGTTTTTAATTTCTGAAAATAAAGTATTTTATTTATTTTTTGTGATCGTCAAATAATTCAAGATGTCAGGGTGACACAACTGTCCTAACATTGTAGTAAAGAAGAAAAAAAACTCAAAAGAATGAAATAAGTAAGTATTTTAGCATAATCCTTTATTACTATTAATCAGTTTTCTTAAAACTGCTTAACTCCAACTCCAACAAAAAGGAGTCAGACCCTCATGACTGTGTCAAGGTCAATAAGTGTCTTAAAATATCAAATAAATTGACATGTTAATGAAAAGGAAAGGTTAGTTCAGGTTGTAAAAGATGTTGTGTGCAGTGACTCCTAAAAAATTGTTTATAAATTTATAATTTAAAAGATAAATGTTTTTAAATGTGCTCGCTTATATTGAATTATTGGCATATATTGCACCTGCCGTGTTGGCATTGACCTTTTACCTATTACATACTAACAGCAACTTAATTGAAAATTAAATTAATTTACTTGTCTTGTCGAACAATTTCTTAGTACCTATTCTTTGCTTATTGTATCATTACTCATTCGGCATACTATTTGCCAGGGAAGTAGGAATATATGAGATTGCTTTAGCTCATCTATTCGAGTGACATGTTGGTTATGATTCTTTTGCATGAGGAGAAACAAGATATTTATTGTATCTGGCGTTGGTTTGCGGTAACGTATCATGGGACCGATTTACAATGGCTGGGTCTTGAGGAATGTGCTGATTTGAATGACTCTCACATGTGCGTTGGAGCTGAACTCAATAAAAGGAGTGGAGCTGTTGCTACACAGCTGGTGTTTTGATCCAGGAAAGGGTGTGTGTGTGTGTGTACAGTTGTGTTTCAGGCAGCTATTTAGCAGGTAGAGTTCTTGAAGTATCATAGTTTGTTTGTCAGTCAAGTCAGACATAGAACATTAAGTTATTTGCTTGTTTTGAAGGTCATAAAAGCATAAACTGAAGCTTTGTGGAGTTATGAGAACTCAACAGTGAGTTTGGTTGTTAAATGTCCTTTTGGGAACATTGTAATATTAGTCAAGTCACCTTTATTTATATAGCGCTTCAGACAATACAGATTGTTTCAAAGCTTTACTAAACAAACAGCAAAAATCTAATGCAAATGTTCTCTGGCAGTCTACACTCACGGCCACTTCTGCTATCTGCTGGTGAGGAGTGCTATTGCAGTTTGTCATGTTACTAAAAAGCTCTTTTACAACTCCAGGCAGATTTTCTGGTCTCTTTATTTAAACTCTCGTCCCCAATTTTTTTTTTTTCTTTCTTCGGTTACTTACACTTCGGTTGCCATATTTTTGTCCCGTGCTGATTATCCCTCTCACTTTATCACTATCAAAAGCATGAAAAGAGCGCTCCCTTTATAATCACTAAAAGCTGTCACTCATCTCAGTTCATTGTGATCTTAAAAAGTTCCATTATAGTTAATTAGGCTGTCTACACTGCACAATGCATCTCTTTTTTGCGTCGTATCTACACTTTGTTAAAGAGCACCTATCATGGATTTTTGAAAATGACTGTTCATATGGTGTGGAATATAGCTCTAAGGGAATGAAAACATCCTGCTAAGATTAATATCTGAAAGTGCACCGTATATAAAGTTATTGTCTTTCAAAAGGGAGAGTCGACTCTGAGTCTATGAAATGAATTGTTTTTGAAACGAGTCATTAGCTGTTTCGTAGTGACGAAGATACGAAACATAAGCATATTGGCCACGCCCAGTTACTGCGCATGTAGACGGAAGTGTAAACTTAAAGTCTAGAACACAAATACTTCAGCTGAATAGCATCATGTCGAGAAGACGCTGCGTTCTACAATGCAAAGACAGTTCAGCCACTTGTTTTCATTTACCAGGGACGAGCATGTGAAGAATCGGTGGTTACGAGTTCATATTTGCAACGATACCTCAACTGTATAGCCCGATTGTGTTCTCATCATTTTAATTACGAATCGTTCAAAAACATAAATGAATTCAAATGTGGATTCGCAAGCCGGTTGTTCCTGAAGGAGGGCTCAGTAACTTACTTGCCCAGTGTATATGGATCAGCTTCCTCCTATGAATCACAACCTGTAAGTATTATTAATAATTGTTGCTTTTATGGGTTTTGAACGGTTTTGTAGCGTCGGGGCGCGAGGAGGGAAGGCACAATAAGTGTGTGTGTGTGTGTGCTTGTGTGTGTGTTTACGCTCAGCGCAGCTTCTAGGTCTCTAATGTCAATTTTTTTTAATATGTGAAATGTTTGTCGCTGTTATTGGAGTTGTCATAAAGAATAGAGTGTTTTGTTGTACTGCAGTGATTTATCAATATGTTATGCTAACAAACAATAACTGACTGGGTCTGTCATCTGACCAATCACCGCCGATTAGCGTTACGCAAAGGAGTGGTTTGGAAAAATGAGTCGTACGAATCATTTGGGAGTCGGTGTGCAAATCAGTTAAAAATAAATGCATATTATAAGACAACAAAAGTGTTTTTTTATCCTTGCATGCATGTTAAACTGTTTTTGGGAACTCCTAAAACAAAAATAGGAACATTTCAAATGCTACATTGCTCACCGCTGCAAAAACAAATAGTAAATGGAAACATTTGACGTTCTCTAGAGTGCTTGCGTTAAGCATTTGCCAAATTTGTTTCGCCCATTTGTTTTCGCCCTGTCCGCTAAGCCACTGGTTACCAAGAGTTCTTCAATTGTTCTTACAATTAGTGTGTCACAGATTTTGTCAGCCTGGTGCAAATGATGCTACATTTGTGTCTGACTTGTACAGTCATATAATTGTATGTGTGGTATATGTGGTTGTTGATACCACAATATTTAATATTTAATATAAAATACTATTGAATGAATGAATGAATGAATGAATGAATGAATGAATGAATGAAAAGTTTTTATTTCGAACATGTAGAAAAAAAAAACAATACATAAAACAAAATAAAATAAAAAATAAAAAAAAACATGTAGAAAAAAAACAATACATAAAACAAAGAGAAAAAAAAAACTTTTTTTTTTTTTAACTTATACATGTCCGAAAAGGAGTAGGAAGAAGCATAAGCTTATTCAATCCAACCCCATCTTCAACTAATTATAACTAATTAACCGGTTGACCGAATATTTTGATCTATTTGTCTCTAAACACCAAAAACAAAAACAACATACTTATCTACCTATGTGTATATACATCTTCAAAAAAAAAAAAATTACATAAGAGAAAATAAATAAAAACTAATAATAATAATAAGAGAGAAAAAAAATACTTTTACAAATTTTTACAATGCTTTTTAAACTGAGTCATACTTGGGCATTGTTTAAGTACTGAACTTAATCTGTTCCACAACTTTTACATTAAAAAATATTTATTATTTTATAAAATTATGTATTATTTTATAAATTATTATTATTTTATAAAATACTATTTATAATATTTAATATAAAATACATTATTTAAAGCCTTACTCATGTCAATCTATCTTCTGAAAACCTTTTATCTAAACACAAACTGACCCGAATAATCTCTTTTTTTGACCTGCCTCTTCTTTCTGATCTGTATGGCTTCAAATCTAAAAATGCTATTTGAATCACCATTCCTCTAACAGAAGAGCACATTAGAAGAGGCTGTTGGCACTCAGGTCAGCATTGTTTATCGCAACTCTCCGTTCATCGAGGTGAGTGTGTGTTTGTGCGTGCGTGGGTGATGCCGGCTGAGGCAGATGGGCGTTTTCTGCTCGCAGTCGTCCAGCTGCATGTATAATTCATGAGTATATTCAGTCGCATGAAGAGACCGATTTGAAAGCCCTGCCCAGCAGGAAGACCTCTGAACCAAAATAAAGGGGCTTGATTGGAACTCAGTGGTTTTAGGTGTTGCATTTTTCCACTTAAAGATGAGCTCTGAGATGAGGAGTACAGCGCAAGAGACCGAGACGAGAGCACACGCCCGGCAGGATCTGAGATCTCCTTAAACGCACGCTCACACATTCACTTACACATTCATGCTGCTGGATTAGATGCGGCCAAAGTAACTGCAGCAGGACTTCTGGATGATTTATGTTGGTTATATTGCTTTTAGGTGAGTGGAGTGTGTGCGACAGCTCTGGGAGTTTCAGTGTTCGTATGATTTGCCATCTCTCTCTCTCACTCGCTCTCCTGCACATGCTTTGCAGACCCACCCACAATCTCTGTGGTTTTATTCTGCTTCAGAAACCCACCTCACATCATTTCTTCTCATCATTGCGAATGCTTGTCTCCTCCTCTGGTCCTGCTTGACCATGTGCTAGTGAAATAGTCTGCAGTCAGTGCACTGGGAGTGTCCAGCAAGGAGTGTCCGAGAGAAAACTGAGAATCCTTGGAGTGTCCAGACAGAGAGAGAACATACTAGGAGTGTCCGGATAGAGAACTGGGAATTCTTGGAGTGTCTGGAGAAAGAACTGGGAATTCTGTGACCGCCTTGAGGAGGAGCGCTTTTGGGAGCGTCTGAAAAGAGTAGTGGTTATGCTGGGGCCAAGTACTCAGGATTGCAGTGCCTTGTCCTGCTTTGGCTGCTGGAATGGGCAAATGGTGGGCTTTAGCACATTAGCATTTTAACTCATGTCATTTACTTTCACCATCCAGCACTTTTACTCAACCATTCATCATGTTTTCATGACCAGTGTCATGATTTTCCCGGGGAATTCAATTACAGTAATCATTTCCATTATTCTTTAATGGGGACGAAGTAAGACTGAAGCAGGTTATTCCATCTTTTCCTGAAATTATGTTTTTGTTGCATTTTTTTAAGGATGATCCATATGACCCATCCTGTCATTGGCTATTAGTTAAAACACTTTAATTAAATCTTCCACAAGCCAAGTGTCAGCATTTTTACGGTGCACTCATGAAAGGACTGAATCGAAGGCTTTTGCTGTAAGGTACAGTGTCTTCTAACCAAATAAAAGAGTTATACGAGTACTGATTGCACTTAATGGGACTTTTTACACTATCGCTCAAAGGTTTGGGGTTGGTAAGATTTTTAAATATGCTGCATTTATTTTATATATTACAATTGACTATAATTATATTATATAATTTTTATTCCTGTGATGGAAAAGCTGGACTTTTGGTTTAAAACCGTTGTGCTGCTTTCTGTGGAAACCTATTTTTTTTTCTGGATTCTTTGCATCCATCCTCCTTGCTTAATTTTTATCAGAACTTTAAAAAAATCTGATTCAGACCTTTCCTTTTCTTAGAGAGATGCAGCCAGTCATCCACGCTTTCAGTTTATACCTGGATTCCTTCAAAGCGCTGCCAGGAACTGTATTTACAGTATCATGATATTGATGTGGGATCGAGATGGTTAGAGGATGTCTGTATTATAATTTTTAGCATCAGCATTCTTCGTCATTTATGCAGCTTTTGTTACTTTGTCAGGTGGTGTAACGGGCCAGAACAGAAGTACAGTAACCATGCAACAGCAATGTTGTTCCTTGTGTCCATGCCTACATCATACCCATGTCATTCAAAGAGACAGATCTATTTGTATAGATCAAAGATTATCATTTGCACATGTGAATGTAACACAACTCTAAGATTGTTAATATTAATTTGAATGAATTTTATGATGTTAGATTATATATGTTAGGTTTTGTATCAGTAAGGTTTTAAAAATATTTATTTATTTATTTGTTTGTTTTACGAATGCATACTTTTATTTATATAAATGGATCAAAAGTGACGGTAAAGAAAGACATTTATAATATTACAAAAATTTCCATTTCAAATAAATACTGTTCTATTAAACTTTTTTTGATGAATTGAACGAAGTTCTTTTGATCAAAGAATCCTGTAAAAATGTATCATGGTTGCCACAAAAACATAAAGCAGCTCAACTGTTTTCAACATTGATAATAATAAGTGTTTCTTGAGCACCAAATCAGCATATTTTAGAATGATTTCTGAAGGATCATGTGGCTCTTAAGACTGGAGTAATGATGCTGAAAATTCAGCTTTGCCATTTTAAAACATATTAAAATAGAAATCTTAAAAAACCAATTTAATCAATAACCGAAATGGATGGAAGTCCTTTATCAAATTCAGTACAGAATTAATATTTCACAATATTACTGTTTTAACTGTATTTTCTTTTACCAAATAAATGCATCCTAGATTAGCATAAAATGCTTTTTTCAAAATCATTTTAAAAAGTTTACCAACTGGTAGTTTTATATTGTTCCAAATATCATTTCTTATCGTTAGAATTAGTAGGGTTGAGATTTGAGAACTTTATTTTTAATCCATTCTAAACATTTATAGATTCTTTATGATGTTTCATAATTTATTCCTTTAACATTTTTGGAATGCTTGTGTTCCTCCTGCTTTCCTGTGAATTATTTTCCATGCATTCAATTAATTGTGAACATACAAATCTTACTTTGGTAAAGCTAAGCTCATAATAAAAAGGTAGATGCTACTGAGTAACTATTTAATATTTAAGCTTCAATTTTAACGAGTAATTCAGTCTTAAAAAAATATCAGATGTGAGTCTCTTCCAAATATCATTCATCATTTTATAATTGGTGATTTTAAAGGAGTAGTTCACTAAAAAAAAAAAAAAAAAAAACTTATAAACTGATAATTTACTCACCCCCAAGTCATCCAAGATGTCCATGTCATTCTTTCTTCAGTCGAAAAGAAATTAAGGTTTTTGATGAAAATATTCCAGGATTTTTCTCCATATAATGCACTTTACTGGTAACCAAACGGTTCAAGGTCCGAAAGACCGTTTCAGTGGAAACTGTTCAAAGGGCTTTAAACGATTCCAGACGATGAATAAAGGGTCTTATCAAGCGAAACGATCACTCATTTAAAAAAATAATAAAGTTTAAGTTTTAAGCTTAAACTTTGCTCTGTTCTTTGATGCACGTTCGTGACTCTCCTGTTGCGTACTCGTTCATCAAAATGAACAAATCTTTTTCAGAGTCAATTTGTTCATTTCGTTCGTTCAATTAACTAATTGACTCAGAGAAAGATTTGTTCTATTGATTAAGAAGTTCGAACAGGAAAGTCACGGACGTGCATCACAGAACAGAGCAAGGCGACCATTTGAGCTCATAAAACTTAAACTTTGTGATTTATTTTTTTAAATGAGCGATCGTTTCGCTTGATAAGAACCTTATTCATCGTCTGGAACCATTTAAAGCCCTTTGAACAGTTTGCAGTTTGTACTGAAACTGTCTTTTGGACCTTGAACCGTTCAGTAAAGTGCATTATATGGAGAAAAATCCTGGAATATTTTCATCCAAAAACCTTAACTTCTTTTCGACTGAAGAAAGAAAGACATGGACATCTTGGATGACATGGGGGTGAGTAAATTATCAGCAAAAGTGTTTTTTAAAAGTGAACTACTCTTTTAAGCATTGATCTTAACAGCTGCTTTATTTCTTTGCAAGTCTCAGAAAATGTCTTTTTCACTGCACAGCTTTGACCAAACACTTCACTGCCCTCGATTCATTAAATGTTATTTTTAAACAAGTGTGAAGTTACCAAGTTGTTTTTTGTGTGCAGGCTGAGTCAGGCTACGGGTCTGAGAGCAGTCTCCGCCGCCATGGTTCCCTACTGTCCCTCACCTCTGCCGCCAGTGGCCTCTCCACCACCTCCGCATCCTCCTTCAAGGTGAGAATCAGTCTCTGCCTCCACAGTCCCAACTTGTGCAACTTCTTATGTAGTTTCTATTCAATGTTTATTTGCAAACTGTTGAACAGAAGGGATACAGTCTGCGTGAAAAGCTAGCAGAGATGGAGACCTTCCGGGACATTCTCTGCAGACAGGTGGACACTCTGCAGAGGTACTTTGACAACTGCGCAGACGCTGACTGTAAAGATGAGCTTCACAGGGATAAAGGTGAGGAAAACAGTTATGATACAGGGAGTTTTATCTTGCTGAGGGGGCAACTTGGCGTTAGACGGTAGAAAACTTGCCATTCAAATTCTTTTCGTATTTAGAGGTGTGCCATTTTATATTGTGCGTTTTATAACTTTACAAGGATAGTTCACCTTAAAGAGAAAATTGTCATTAATGGTGTTCTTTGAAACACAATTGAAGATATTTTCTGTCCCTCCAGTAAAAGTCCACACAAACAAAACTTATGGTAAACGGAAGCTCAGTCAGTCATGCCTGCTGGATTTTGTAAGAACCAATGAGGTTGTTTCTCATGCGCCAAGCAAGCAGGGTTTAACTTCAGTTTACCATATTTGATATGCTCTATGGTGTGTTGATCTGGCTTATGTGAATAAAATATATGTTCATCATATAAAGGTGTTGGATTAGACCTTTTGGCATGTATAGATTTATTTTACGATGTGTTTTTTTTAACTTTTTAATGCGCAAAAGTTTTGGTTACATGGACCGGAAGGCTGAGAGAACATAAAAAATATCTTTGTTTCAAAGATGAACAAAGGTCTTATGGGTTTGGAACGGCATTAGGGTAAATAAAAGTTGTCGGTATTCTCATTTTTGTGTGATCCTTCTCTTTAAATGGATGAGTGCACTGCACATTCAAATTGCTTGAGTTGTTTGTTGTAACACTGCTGAATTTTTTTCACGCAGTATCTGATGATGAGGAAAATTTTCCAACCTTACGTCCAGATTATCTCAACAACAACAGCAGCAAAGAGAAACGTGAGTTTGTATGTCTTTTTTTATAAGCACATCTACTTTGTGCCTAATACATTTATTGATGAAAATGGTCAAATCCTGTCCGAATGCAGTTTGATTCTCGAGCAATCATTTTTTTTTCATATTTTCTGAATACAGTGTATGTAGGATCAAAAAAAATTTATCAAAGTTTTCATGTCATGAAAGGTTTTGATCCACTTCAAATGTTGACTAATGTAATATTTGTTCATACGTCTTTATTTGTAGTAGCATTAAAAAAAAAACTTACACAGTCTACACCATTGCAATAAACTGCACGTCATGCAGTTAGTGGTAACATCAATTTGGAGTGTGTAAAGAGTGTAAAGTGCTTTTTACTCCCGTAATGGTGAAAATCTTCCATTATGTCCATGATGGTGGTTGTTAAATGGCTTATTTCTTTCTAGGTCTGAAAACAATTGATAAGACACTTATAAAGATTTAATTAAGCAGCTGAAATTTCTTCAGAAGTAGAGCTAAGTTGGAGTACGGCTGCTATTTAATATTAATTTGACTTGATTTTTCTGCAGTATTTCCTGTGGACAGCCTCAAAGCTCCCGTAGGCATCGATTTTAAGGGTGAAGCCATCACGTTTAAAGCCACTACAGCAGGAATCCTGTCCACACTGTCCCACTGCATCGATATTTTGGTCAAACGAGAGGAGAGCTGGCAGAGACGACTCGATAAGGTAGTGTGCAGCACAAAATCTTACAGACTCCAAACTGTAGTGTACATCAACATATAGTAATTCTAATTCATACATGTTTGGTGAGTAAATTATGACAGAATGTACATTTTTTTGATTATCATTACCTATCATTACCTAAAATATGATTTATAATATTACAAAAAAACTATTTTAATTTCAAATAAATGCTTTTTAATTTCCCATGTACATATTAAATTCAATCTGAAACAGGCAGATACCTATAAAAACAAATCAAAACCATGTGTAAGAGTTAATGAATGCAGACTGATCTCATGAAGTAGACACGCCAATTCCTATTTCCGTTTTTGGCGTGCTATCAAGACGCATAATCGCCTTTCAGCGTGTTTATGAACGCCGTTGACTTAACGTTATATAAATATATGACTTACCTCAACCCCGTCCCTAAACCTAACCGTCACTGGGGTTAATGGCATTTATGACTGTTCCCTTACCATCCTAGGTAAAAAAAAAGATATGACTTACAGTACCTCAACCCCATCCCTAAACTTAACCGTCACTGGGGTTAATGGCATTTATGACTGGAGATTTGACGGCGTGTACAGACACGCGGAATGACGCGGATGTTAATGGCGTAGACATATACGCATACACGCAGATAGCTCAAAATGCGTAGAGATAACACGCCACCTGACTCGAAAGTGGCGTATATGTTTACGCAAAAGTCATGATGTCATGTTGATGAATGAATAAATAAATATATGTATGTTTGTGCCATTAAAAAATATAAGAGGGGTAAAAGTCATAGTGTGGTAAACAAGGGGATCTGAGATTGTTGGGAATTTAAAAGCTGAACCACTTTAGGAAACAAGGTTGCCTTCCTCCTTTGTGTCCCACAGCCTGGACAGCAAAGTCTTCAGAAAACAGGACATGTGAAAGGTCTTGGAAAGACTTCTTGGAAAGAGCCCTAATAAGAAGTCCAATAACTTCTATTTTGAAGTGTGATAGAATTAAAACAGCAGACGATGGAGAATGTAATGACACTTCCAATGTAGGAGTAGTAGAACATAGTGAAGATGTTCTTATTATCCTCAAAGGAACTGAGCTTCGTTAAAAGGTACTGGTGCTGCTGGAATTTCCTAAGTTTCTCTTCCGTGTTGGAAGTAAATTTCAACAGATTGTCAAAAATTGTGCCCAAGTACTTGTACTCCTCAACAATCTCTATGGGCTTTCCGTGAATGATGATAGTGACTGCCGTAGTCATCTGCCTCTGCTTATTAGAAAAGGTTACTTCGATCTCTTTAGTCTTGTTCACATTTAGTTTCAAACTGGAGTTGTCACACCACTCAACAAATTCCTGGAGAGTTGGACCATGATGCTGTGAAGGTCCTGAAACCCGAGACAGTAAGATGGTGTCATCAGCAAACTTAATTAGATGACAGTTAGATTGGGTGGACCTGAAATAGTCGGTATGCAGAATGAAGAGACACAGCCCTGTGGATAACCAGTGAAGTGTATAGGAGGTCAGAAAGGATCTGTCCAATAGAGGGAATGCATGTGACGTCATCGTCGGCCAGAGTGCCTGCAGTTACTCGCAGTGAGTGGCAAAAAGACTGAGCAGCTGTATATGTTTTCAGCTTGAATGCCAGGAAAAACAAACACAACACATATAAAGTGGGAAAGAGCTTTGTGATTGACTGTACAACTAGATTTGACAAAAATCGGGAGGTCTATTTTAACAGACTGCTATAGAAAGAAGATCAAATGGATCACTGCAATTCACAAAAACAATTGGACTCCAGTCAGTGAAAGGTGGATTTGCAGTTATTATTTTGTGTCAATATGCTGAATTTAGCTGTAAAACCATACCCATATATTTTGTATTGTTATATATATTAACAAGTCATCAATTAAATATTTATCATTGCATATTCTGCATTATTGGATGTTTTTTTAATAAACACTGACCAAAAAAAACAAACAACCTATAAAGTTTTAGGGCTGGACGATATGATGATATATGTAGGCTATATATAACACTGATATAAGTAATTACCCAGATTTAGACCTACCTATATTGTATTTATATGAAGCCTTCACAGGCAAATTTACTTTATGTTTAGGTCTATATTGCTTTTATTTCCCCAGTGTCGAAATCAGGCAAACATAAATGTCAGACAACACGATTGCTGGCTGCATGTCAATATCCATGGATCACTGGATCGTTAGTGAGTTGTAAGGAACACTATTGAGTCCAACATTGAGTCCAACATTTAAATTGATAAAATTGTTCATTTTAGTCGCATTTTCGCAGTTTCCCCTATTAACCCTTGTGCTGCATTAGATTTTCAACACCGTTGAGTGCATTAAGGACCAAAAATGGCCACATATTAAACATTGCCTAAAATATTATATATTATTATTATTTTCCACTTTTACCAAGTTAAATCTTTTAACCAGCATCAGTCCTCATCATAACTACCAAAAATGTATTCAATTTCAGGATTTTAACCCTTTAATTACCAGTTTTGTTTGCGAAACCATCGATTTGTATAAGAGGAAAAAACACAAAAATTCAATTATTTTCAATAAACTAAATGCAAAGAGAAAACTTTAGATTTGGATTATCACAGTCCCACTTTGCAAAAAATCCCACTTAGCGCGGTTGGAGACCAAAAATGGAGACCAAAAATGACCACCTATTAAACATTGCCTATTGCCTAAAATAAGGTGCATTTCCACACATAGGGAATAAATATGTAGTGACGTCATCTGGTGGAATACACTATATAATGCAAATATAATGCTTTTGCTTCAAAATGAAAGGATGTTTGTGCAAAAATCACGTTTCATGTATTTCTGACAGCCTCAGATTTAAACGTTTTAATGGGTTTCAATGGGCCATTTTTGGTCTTTATGGTGCTGAGTGTTACTATTTGATCTACACAGTGTGTGTTATACATATTTTGCAAAATGGGATCACATTTTTTACATGTATCCAAAAAGTCACAATTTTGCCAAATTTCATACCATTTGCATTAAAACAGCCAAAATGGTCAAAGAAATTAAACTGCAAAAGACCAAAAATGTCCCTAATGCAGCATAAGGGTTAAATCCAGTCACGCAGCAGATCTTTTGCCACTCAGTCTGGCTGAGGGGGGTTGTTCCGGCGGGAAAGTGACGTCAATGCATTCCCTCTATTGGTCTGCCAATATAGCAAAGTGAATGGTGACCAGGGCCCATCAATCTCCAAAAAGGCTCCATTAAAGAAGTTCATCGGACTCCTGAGTTATATTTCAAGTCCTCTGAACCCTTACGAAAGCCTTGAATAAGAAAAATACCTCAATTTTAAAAGAGTATGGGTTTGGAACAATGTGAGGATTTTTTTTTTTTTTTTTGATAATTTCAGTTTTACAAGAAGTATTGTTTATTTTGGGACTACCATATACTTTTTTTTTTTTTGCAATATTGAAACCACAGAGTGCATTTTGTTATGTATGAATCATTCGGCATCAAGCTGTTTTGTCACAAGCTTAAAATGGGCTCTATTTACTTCCCACATAACACCTTAATTACTGTATGAGTCACAAAGACACATCCATTAAAACAAAAGTGCATCTGGTCTCCAGAAGCCATGCATTCCTCACATTAGCATCGTCATTAGTATCTGAGTGTAAAGCTTCTGCTCGCACTTGCCCGACCAGTTTTTCCCTTTACAGTCCAACCCCTGCTATATTATCAGCCAGGAAGCCCCAGCCGCAGCGAATTCCAGCCGCAGATTTTACAGCATGTTCACAGTCAATCAACAGGATTGGATGGACCTTTGAACGGAATAAAGCTTTCTGCAAAATGACCAGAGTTTCCCATTTCTGAGGATTGTGTGTTTTGATGTTAGCGACCGGATTGTAAAGGATGTCTACAGTGTACATTTCTTCAGCGTTGAAGCCGTGGCAGAACTGGGTAGCGCTTCAGAGCACTAATGAAAACTGGATTCCACTGTCTACGCACAGCAGCTTCTACACTGTAGGTTTGACTTTCTTGTGTCCAGTTCACTGGTTATTTGATGCTACGCTCTGTTTTAAGTGCTGAAAAGAGTCACTTTACACACTGTATGTGTTTTTAGCCTTTATGTGTTTTTGTCTTGCGTTTGTGCCATGTAAGTGGATGCGTTTGCATTTTCATCTCAGCTCTGCCATTGGTGTTTTATCGCTTTGGTTTAGTGGAGTCACATTACCACCTTTTGATAGTTATCAACTGTCATATAAGCCGGGTGTTGTCAGTAATTGTCTCGTGTATCAGTATGTGTACAATCTTTGTGTCAGTAGTAGAGGTGTGTCAGTGCTTTTAGCAAAGACACACCTGTCAGTTTTTGAACTGATCGGATTTATTATTTACTAAACAAAAATTATGCAACAACTACTTGTCTACAACACCCAAAGCTTCTCAGTTAGTCAAATGATCAAACATGTTTCAGTGAAGATTTAATGTGGCAAGACTACTTCAGTTATTTGTTTGACTGGTTTAAAGGTTGACTTTCTGCAAGTTGTTTAGAGAGCGGGTGTTATGGTCTCCTCCCTTTGTTGAATGAATGGCCTTCCAAAGAGCAAGACACCAATCGGGATCATCAATCGCATCTGTAGTAGGAAAGACCGTTGAAATGGGTGTGTTTGCTTTAGCTGACGCATGAAACTGCCTGTGGACCTGTCAGATTGCCTGTCACATGTCTTTGCTCTGTCCCGTATTCTTTATTTGAATCCTTAACAGATATTTTTTTGGATTTTTTTGATTTGATTCCTCATGAATCCTCATGATAGTCGTGATTGCCTATCATGAGGATTCATGAGGAATCAAATCAAATTTATTATGGTATGCAAACATATATACGTTGTAGAACTCAAAACGTCTTGCTAAAAGTCCAAAATGTTTATTGAAACTGGGGGGGTAAAAATGGTTCGTTCCAAAACTTTATTTCAGAATTAAAATCCCAACGGTCATTTTTCCATGACCATTTACAATACCATTTTAAAAGGTTGGGGTCAGTTAGACAGTGTTGTAGTCGAGACCACCTCACTCGAGTCCGAGTCGACACCGAGACCAGAGAGAGTCGAGTCCGAGTCGAGACCGAGTCCATAGAGAGTCGAGTCCGAGACCAGAGACGGTCGAGTCCGAGTCGAGACCGAGACAGTGAGGGTTGATTACCTAATTTACTTTTATTTACTTAGAGAAATCCTTTTTTTTATTTTTTTTTTACTGAATTTACTTAGAGTTTAAAAAATATGATCAGTTTAGGGTAAAAAGGCCACATAGTAGGTGGTGTTAAAAGTAATTTTATTACAATTTGTCATGCGCAGTTGCGCACTAGAAAGTCACCAATCACTGGGCGTGTCAATCAATTTAAAGAAATATTTTATTAACATACATTAATAATCATCAAAAATATTTTGAATTTAACTCGAGTGGACTCGGGAATAATTCCGAGTCCTAAAAAAAAAAAATGTTCGAGTACGAGTCAATTCCGAGTCCAAATGGACACGAGTCCATGACAAGACCAAGACCATATGGTCTCGAGACCGAGTCCGAGACGAGTCCGAGTCTCGAGTACTACAACACTGCAGTTAGATTTGTATTATTTTTAAAGATATAATTTAGTTTTTCTGCAAGGAAGCATTAAACTGATCGATAGTCGAGACATTTATAATGTTACAGAAGATTTCTATTTCAAAAAACAGAAATAACTTCTGTTCTTTTGAAATTTCTATTCATTAAAGAATCTAGTACAAAAAATATGAATGGGCACAACTGTTGCTAACAATGATAAAAAAAATGTTTCTTGAGCACCAAATCAGCATATTAGACTGATTTCTAAAGAATCATGTGACACTGAAGACTAATGAAGAGTAATGATACTGAAAATTCAGCTTTGCCATCACTGGAATTAATTACATTTTAAAATATATTAAATTGGAAAATGGTTACCTTTAAATTGGAAAAATATGTTTGTGTTTGTGTATTTTTCTTAAAATGAATGAATCAGACTTTTTTTTTTCAAAAGCATTGAAAAAATCTTAGAGACCCAAACATTTGAAATTTATTATAGTAATGACCCCTTCTTGAATTCATGGATTTCATATTGGATATAGTAAAACTGTGAGTAACATTCTTTCCACAAAAGGAAATTGAAAGGAGAAGACGGGCTGAAGACGCCTACAAAGCTGCATTGACAGAGCTGAAGAAGAAGCCTCATTATGGAGGACCAGACTATGAAGTAAGTTCACAACCTTTCATTTACACTGTCCTGTCCATCTGTGGCCCAACACACAACCCTCCATTTTTGACTGAGATGTTCTCTCTGTGCTAAACGTGTCTGTGCAGGAAGGACCAAACAGTCTGATCAATGAAGAGGAGTTCTTTGATGCTGTGGAAGCTGCATTGGATAAACATGACCAGATCGAAGTACAAGTAATGATTCAGATGAATTAATAATTTTGCAAAGCTGGATGTTTTACACATTTCTGTTTTCTAAGGCATCTATTTTATGTACTGTTACCTTGACGCATGTTTCATTAACGGGATACTCCACTTTTTTTGGAAATAGGCTCATTTTACAACTCCCTCAGACAGAGTTAAATTCGTTTTCGAATCCATTCAGCTGATTGTCTGATATTTAGAAGAATATCAGTAACCAGTATGGAAGTCAATGAGACCAGAAACTGTCTGATTCGGATTCGAAAACGGTAAAACTCAACTGTTTAACTCTGAGGGAGTTGTAAAATGAGCCTATTTCCAAAAAAAGTGGAGTATCCCTTTAAATGCTGAGCTGCCATCCTATTTGTTATAATGGCTGTTTCCTTGTAATGGACTGTTTGAACACATCATCATGACTCTTGAAGTGTAAATATATACCAAGGGATTATATTTGTGTTTTCAGTTCTGTAGAAAAAACTGGGAAAACCAAAATGGTCAGAGTGGCCTAGTGTTCCTACATATTGAGCTGTGGCACTGTTACTGTTGTCACCTTAAAAGTTCTCTAAACAAATTTAGCCATTTTGCTAACTTTACCACTTACCTTCACAAGTCCACAATTTTACATTAAAACATCCCATTAAAATTGAGCGATAGTTGTTTTTAAGTCAGTCAGTCAGTCATTTAGTTAATGTCAGAGAGTGCGATTCTTGACCACAGTATAGGGACGTTCACACCAAAAATGATTACTACTGTATAACTATGGAGTTTCTATACGAATATTTACGTCCACACAACAGCTATAGCGATACTGACAGAGAGGAATGATTTCATTGGAATCACTATACTAAATACATTGACAGCCAGTCAAAATCCATCAACTTTAAAGAACTCTGTTTACATAGACAAAATAACTTTGTTCATTTATAAATAAACATAACGTTATCATCCATTGGTGTGGACTTTATGGGTGTTAACGCGTTCAATCACACTGAAAGTCTGGTTGAGAGAAAGTTGAGATCAGAAAAAAAAAATTATAAAATGGCAAATATTGTCCTTGTTGATGTTTCAGTTTACTACTAGTTGGAACCTGAACTGATAATGAATATGAACTCTCTACTTAAATGTATAGTTACACTGTAACAAGGACACCATGGCCCTCAATCGGGTCATGGGGTCTATACGACCCCAATCGACTTTTACTTAACAAAAAAAAAAGGTTCCCTTCATCTCAGTGGAATAAGATTTTGTGACTTTTCATACATTATCTTTCTATACACGCACAAAAAAAAAACTGTGCTTGATTCGGTTGTTCTGAAGGTATGTAAAAAAAGTTTACACTTCTGGTCTTTGGGGTCAATATGACCCCACATTGAAATGAATGGGAGATCTAAAAAAAACTAAATATTTTCTTTGTGTCAAAAAAAAAAAATAAACATCCGGCATAAATCTGAACATTTTTACACAGAAATGAAGGCCTAGTACTAGAGCATATTTAAATGCACTGTATTGTAAAAAAATATTTCATATGCTAATGCTAAAGCTAATGGTGTAGTTGAGGAATTGTGTGGTATATGGATACAAAAGTACTTTATATCTCCAAAAACACAGCATTAATGAATAGATGAGAAGTAAACAAAAAAATGATATATTATTTGTATGATTAAAAATGTATATTTTTTTGTACAATTACTCAATCAATTGTTGGGGTCGTATAGACCCCGAAGCCCAGAAGTGTAAACAGGAAACGAATACCATTTGAAGGAAATGTGTAACCAAGAAAAAAAGGAAAGAGGAGTCGATTCCCTTGATGGAATGGACTCCAAATTTTGGAAATGATTCTTGATTACCAATGCCTTATTCGACTCCCAACCGTACCTTTTCAACAGTTTGTTGTTCATCAGGAGCCAATATACCAATTAGGACACTATCTACAAAGCACATTTACAGCTTATTTAATTTGCATTGCTCATATGTTTTGCAGTCCCAGGCAGAAAGAAGCAGGGTATCTCGACAAATCTCCCTCTCTCCAGACACCTATTCCTCCATCGGCACTCAGAAATACTCAAATAAGGTGACTCACCCACACAAACACACACTCCTACACACAAACACTCTATCAAAGCACATTTGCTTCTTCGTGACTGATTATGCAATTCTGTCATTGCTGATGGTGGATCTTCTCTGTGAAATTCTTGGAACTTTTACGTTTGTGATTCTGCCTTTTGTTCTTCACGTTCCTCCTGCTGAAGTGTGATTTACAGTGGAAGTCTTCTTTGTATTCTCTGGGTGATGATTTTTTTTTTATTTCCCTCTCTTTCCTTTGACCTGTTTCCCTCTGGCTTTCTGTCTCTTGGGTTCAGCCTCGCAGTCATACTTCCTCCTTGTCCTCCTCCGTCGACCTCATAAGTGCCTCAGATGACGTGCACAGGTTCAGTGCTCAGGTAGAGAAATGACACTACACTAGTGTGGATGAACTGCAGGCGTATGATTTGTTCGTAAACTCAGAGAAATGTTTGTTACTGTTACTGTTTTTTTGCTTGTATACTTTCAGCAACACATGCCTCTTGTTTTGTTCACAGGTTGAGGAGATGGTGCACAGTCACATGACTTATTCTTTACAGGATGTGGGTGGAGATGCTAACTGGCAGCTGGTTATTGAAGAAGGGGATATGAAGGTGAAATAGATATCAAAATATTTTTTTTTTAATTTGAAACCGAGCTTGTTGCTATGGAAGCCTGTTTCCATATCAGAGTAAAAAATAAGCCTATAACAATGCCTGTAACATCTATCTATCTATCTATCTATCTATCTATCTATCTATCTATCTATCTATCTATCTATCTATCTATCTATCTATCTATCTATCTATCTATCTATATATGAAGAGTTCAGATGCAAAAGCCTCTAAATGCCATTTGAAATTTTCTTCTAAAATGACTATTTTTATCAAGCTTGTATATTTAAGTTCAGTAATTTCACTTAAATGACAATTAATAGGTCATCTTCATTGCCATTTAAGTGAAATTACTGAACTTAAATATACAAGCTTGATAAAAATGATCATTTTAGAAGAAAATTTCAAATGGCACTTAGAGGCTTTTGCATCTGAACTCTTCATATATATATATATATATATATATATACTCTATGTGTGTATGCATGCATGTACAAGAAACAAACTTGTTGCAACATTTGTTTTTGCAGGTGTATAGGAGAGAGGTGGAGGAGAACGGCATCGTTCTGGATCCTCTCAAAGCTACTCATTCTGTCAGAGGAGTCACGGGGCACGAGGTCTGCCACTACTTTTGGGACACAGCTTATCGGAACGATTGGGAGAGTATGTTCACCTCAACATATCATTTTGCCTTTTTGATCTTCTAATATAACATTGCCACTGTTTATATATCAGGTTATCAGGTTACCCTGTGTGTATAGGACATGGAAATCAGTGTTATTTTAGGCCCTGTTCACACCAGGTATTAAGATGGGTTTTGGTCGTTCAGAGCAGAAGTGGACAAGGGACACATTCCAATTTACACCCAGTGTTTTAATCTCTCTCTTTTGTCCATTTGTGACAACTTTTCTCCTGATTTTTTTGAGGGGAGGATCTACGTGACAAAAAATACGGAGAAAAATCCATATGAATATTTAATATGAAAAGTATAAATATGAAAAGTGAAAAGTATAAAAAATATTAATATGGAGAGCAGCAGCTTTTGTTTTTTGCTCTTGTAGCCACAAGACCATGGCGAACATGGTGAGTGCGTGTTAGAAATCAGAAATGGTGAGAGAACATTGGTACGTTTTTCATATTCAAACCAAACTTGGGTCTTCGTCCGACAAAATTTAAATTCTGTCTGGCTAGCGTGCTTCCCATAATGTTTACACTGAAGGTTATTTGACCACATGAGCGTTTACACTATGAAAACAATCCGGTCAAATGCGTTTTTGGCTACCACTTGAAGTGCTTGAAAGTGGATGAGCTCAAAACATTAAATGTGCTTTTGTCAATTGATTTTATTTATTTTTATTGCCATTTAGGTTTAATCTATTTTAGTTTTAGTTTATTTATTTCCAGTTAATAAATGTGTGTGTGTGTGTGTATGTATGTATATATATACAGTATATATATATATATATATATATATATATATACTATTTATTTATTTTTTTACTTTTTTATATTACATTATAATAATTAGAAAAAAAAATGAATAGTTTTAGTTAATAGTAATAACTGCTGCAAATAATAAGAAAATGCTGTTTGGTTATTCATGCAAACACATTTACCTTATCTTTTAAAGCAACAATTGACAGCTTTCAAGTGGTTGAGACGCTCTCGGATAAAGCGGTCATCATTCATCAGACACATAAAGTAAAGCATCGTTCACTCTTCCATTATTGCTGGTTGTTTCTGAAATCATTTGTGGTTGTTGCAGTTGCATTGACATCTTTAGATACACATTCTCACTCCTCTTTTGTAGAGAGTGTGGCCTGCCTCCCAGCGGGATGTGCTTTATGTATCAGTTATTCGTAAAATTCTCTCCACCAATGAGAATGATCCTGACACCTGGCTGGTGTGCAACTTCTCAGTGGATCATGACAGCTATCCAGTAAGTACCTGGGACTGCAGAAGTATCTATTAAAATGTTTCCCTTTTCTTACTATTTGATATCACAGACATTATTATTATTATTATTATTTATAATAATACTTAAAAAATTAAAGGTACACATAAAGCTATGCATCAGAATACTCTCTAACTGAGGTTTCTCATGTTTTCTCCAGCCCTCTGCCAGATGCATTCGTGCCAAAATCAACGTAGCCATGATTTGTCAAACACTAGTCAGCCCACCAGAGGGAGACAAAGACATCACCAGGGAGAACATCCTCTGTAAAATCACATATGTAGCCAACGGTAAGCCTAGCACTACAACCATGATGAGAGTTTTCACGGGTCAGGGTGTCTGACCATCCTAATTGAACCCTTTAAAATAATTCAAACTTAAGTTTGGGTGGGTGTCTTAAAAGTACATGCATGACTGTTTAAAAGTTTGTGGTCAGTAAGATTTGTTAGTCAGTAAGTATTGGTCAAAAGTGACAGTGAAGATTTCACAATGTATTTTACAAAAGATTTTACAAAAGATCAAAATATTTAAAATAAATGCTGTTCATTTGAACAAAATATTTCCACAAAAATATTAAGCATTTTAATATATATAGTTATGCAAAATTCAGCTGTACTATCACAGGAATTAATTACAATTAAAAATATATTTAAATTATAAAATAGTTAATTAAAATTGTAATAATATTTCAACTGTCTTATCTATAATTTTGTCAGTATTTGACTTGGTAAACTCTGAATTACTTTTAGTTCTTTTGAACACAAAATTATATTTAAAGGAGTAGTTCACTTTTAAAAAAAACTTTTGCTGATAATTTTCTCACCCCCATTTCATCCAAGATGTCCATGTCTTTCTTTCTTCAGTCGAAAAGAAATTAAGGTTTTTGATGAAAACATTCCAGGATTTTTCTCCATATAATGGACTTCAGTGGGAACCAAACGGTTCAAGGTCCAAAAGACAGTTTCAGTACGAACTGCAAACTGTTCAAAGGGCTTTAAACGATTCCAGACGATGAATAAGGGTCTTATCTAGTGAAACAATCGCTCATTTAAAAAAATAAATAACAAAGTTTAAGTTTTATAAGCTCAAATGCTCGCCTTGCTCTGTGATGCGTGTTCATGACTCTCCTGTTCGAACTCGTTCATCAAAATGAACAAATCTTTTTTCGAGTCATTTGGTTCATTCATCGAACGAAATGAACGAATTGACTCTGAAAAAGATTTGCATTATATGGAGAAAAATCCTGGAATATTTTCATCAAAAACCTTCATTTCTTTTCGACTGAAGAAAGAAAGACATGGACATCTTGGATGACATGGGGGTGAGTAAATGATCAGCAAAAGTTTTTTTAAAAGTAAACTACTCCTTTAAAAGGAATGTTGGTAAACAGATATTTGACATCTTCTAGCAAAAGACGTCTGGCTGTTTAAAAATGTCAACCGCCCCTAAATATCATAAATATATTATTTTTACACAGAGGACATAAGAGTTTGGATTGCAATCCTTGTTTTATGATATACATGATATAAAATGTCACATTAATGCTGTTCATGTAATCCTAAAGTAAATCCTGGTGGTTGGGCCCCTGCATCAGTCTTGCGAGCCGTAGCCAAGAGAGAATACCCCAAATTCCTCAAACGCTTCACCACATATGTTCAAGAGAAGACCAGCGATGAGGCTATCCTCTTCTGAATAACACCAGGTAAAAGGTAGTGGCTTTTTCCTGCTTTTAAATCACAAGGCATTGTACATTTATTCCAAATCTTGTTTTCTCTTCCTACAGGGTGTTTAATCTACATTCCCAGTTTGCTTTCTGACTCACCTGAAGAAACGCCTTATTCACAATGCTCTACCATCACTCATGACAAAGCACTGCTCTGCCCAAGTGCTCTTGACTCTTCAGAAACCTTTTTCAAACTGTATCCATACAGACTGAACAAAAGCGGTACACCAATATCTGTAAAAGACACACTAGAACAACCAACACAGTCTGTTCATCTTCAAAAGGCCTTACTTGTTTTTTCATAATTGAGCCGCGGCTCAGGTTGTTAAAGTTTTTTTACATTTTTGTAAATATTTGATCATAGTTTGAGTTTTGACTGTGGTCTTGATGAAATATATATATATATACTGTAAACTTGATGCCTTGATTTATATGATTCTCACTGGCCAATAGCCATTTGTCTTAAGAAGACCCTTTCTGTCCTCATGATCAAGAGGATGTCAGACTTCAGTCTCACAATCTATTGTACAGTTAGTGTATGAATGTTTAACATTATTTACATGTGAAGGCATTACACATTTTTGATTTTTGTAATTTATAAATGTGGCTTTTGTCGATGTGTATGTGTAATGGGAGCTGCTAATATTGAAAAGTAGAGGCTATTTTGGTTGACCTGTAGAAAGGTAAGTGACTTGTATATGACCATTATTCCAATTTTTTTTTTTTAAGTTTAGTTTTGTTTTTTTTGTTCTAATTTTCAGAGGTTTCATAAGTAATTTCTGCAAGTAGGTGGTACTTTGATGTACAAATGTTTCAGCAGTTTAATCGCTCCACTTTTCACATGAATTGGTTCATTGTTACCTGTTGGTCTTCCATCTACACAATATATGTGGAATTACTGCCATTGCACAGTTTTCTGTCACTTTACTGTGAATTAATTCACTGTATGGAAGATTGAATGAATCTGGCACATTTTCAGCTATCATTAGACTTAAAGGAGTAGTTTACCCCCAAATTCTAATCATTTACTCACTCTCATGTTGTTTCAAACCTGAAGAAAATTTTTTATTCTGTAGAACACAAATAAGGTATTTTGAGAAATGTCTGTTTTCCCCCGTGCATTGGTAACTAAATCAGTTTGGTTACCAACATACTTCAAAATATTTTCTTTTGGACGAACGAGTGTAAATGATTATATGTAAATTTTGGGGCGTAAACTATCTCTTTAATAAAGGCTTCAAGTTAATTTTTATTTTTTAAGAGAATCCATTTATTAATTGAATCTCACTATTGTAATGCGTTGGTTTTGTTTTTTGTGACGTGAGTAACAGTATTTGCATTTAACAATATGATTTTTTTTTTTTTCTGTTTTAAAAGTCCATCATATTTTGTTCCCATACTAATACTCCAGTTCCGAACGGCTGATTTGATGGATGCAAATGATCGAATCGTTGCATAACCTGCCTGCCATCATAGATTTGCTGCTGCAGTACAAGCACTTTTATTTAGTTGGATGGTGTGAAAGTCTTAGTTCATGAAAGCAAGAAGAAACTAAGAAAGAATACCTGACTATTTTGAGATTGATTTGACCTTTCAGTTGATTTGAGACAAATGTTTTGTAAATGACTTCTATATATACTGTATGTAGTATCACCAATTTATTAATGAAATCAAATTTTATTAAACAAAAGCAAAACTTTCACTTTATTAATTTGTGTTTGTTACAGGCTACAGCACATAATGATTTATGTACTGAGTAATATTGATTAATAGTTCAGGGTTAGTTGCATGTGATTATGCAGAATATAGCTATTATTAGTAACTACATATAACAAGGACACTGTAAAATCAATTTTTACTGCCTAGTGCCTATAGTTTTTTTTTTTTTTTTTTTTATTTCACTCAAGGATGATTTTATGCGTGTTGTACAGGAAGAATATCTCAGTATGTTGCAATAAACCAACTCAACCTCTGTGAACTCTGCACTGGGCGTGTCCAATCACGCTGAGCGCTGATGATGACTGACAAACCTATGGGCTGATATGGTATCATGAGCATGTGATAGGGTTACTATCCAAGATAAGCATTAGGGGAGGAGTAACACGGTTAGCACTCTGATATTAACCATAGTGTGTGTCCAGCCGTTTTAATCCTTAAAGCCTATTAGTATCTATTTTAATGATACTAGTATCTATTGCATTAAGTACTATTCATTGGATGCTAGTACCTTTTGAAAAAAGATATTATTATTCATTAGATACTAGTTCTTATTTTTTTAGAGACTGGTACTCATACATTAGATACTGGTAGGCCTACCTGTTAAATAGACACTAGTACTTACTAATTCTAGTCCTTATTAGATACTAGTACTTATCCATTAGACACTAGTATCTATTAAATATAGTTCTTCATTACATACAGTTCTTATTTTGATGGTGACTGACTATTCTTTTGTTACGAGTGCATTTAAAAAAATTGCCATTGACTTCTATGGGGATCTGTCATTCAGATAATTATCAACTATTCAGTTCTGACTAGTAAGTATTACAATTGTGACTAGTACGTATTTATTAGATACTAGTAGTTATTCATACTTGTTTTTTAGATTGTACCTATTAGATATTAGTTCTTGTTAAATAGATGCTTAGTCATTAGATGTTAGTACCTATTAAATGGATACTAGTACTTACACACTAGCTACTAATACTTATTTAATAAATAATAGCACTTTTTATTGGATATTGGTATGTCACTAGTAAGATTTTTTATTTTACTAGTAAGATTTTTAATTGGACTGTATTGTGGTTGTTCTGACTAGTCATAACATAAGACTTGTAAAAAAAACAGTAAAATAAGAAAGGTTACGTTTACAATTAAAAAAGAGACTGTCTAATAAATAAGTACTAGTCTAGTACCTAACGAGTTAAATAGGTACTAGTATCGAAAAATAAGCAATAAATAAGTACTCTGGCAAGCCATTTAGCGTTGCTCGTCATAATTGCATTTTCACAGTGGTACTAATTTGTCATTAAAGAGTTATAATGGCTCCATGACAGCTAATGTCAAAACCAACCAAATTATGTCAAGGTATCATAACAAAGGCATGTCAAACAATGTCATGTTTGCATTAAAAATGTCATAACTGAGCAAATGATGCTTAATGACAGTTGTCACAAACATGCATAAAACTTCCTCATATTCATAACATACGTCATGTCATGATTATGAAGGTGACATGTTAGTCTTATGCACACCCCTTCAATTAAAGTGTTAGCGTCTTAGTGAATAATAGGATCAATATTGGAATAATTAGGCTACTATAGTACATGATTAGATGATTAATAATTCATTAATATTCAACATATTATTTGCATACTGATTATTTAAATAGTACTAGTACTATTTAAATAATCAGTACGCAAATAATATAATCTGTTACGGTAAGGATATTTTTGATATTAAAATGTTAACTAAAAAATAAGCACTAGTTCTATTTTTTCTTAAGTTAGGTATAATTAAATACTAGACACTTTTGGAATGAGTACTAGTGTCTAATAAATAATAACTATCTAATGAACAAGTAGCTACTAGTAGGCTATCTTTAAAAAGGTACTAGTACCTAAAGAATAATATGCACTAGTATATAATGAATAGGCACTAGTACTTGAAAAATAAGCACTGGTAGCCTACTTAAAGGAATACTATTATCTAAAAAAAAAAACTACTAGTAGCATTAAAATAGATAGTAGTATGTTTTAAGGATTAAATGTTAGAACGGCTTGCCAGCCGTAGTGTGTGTAAAGCACGTTTCATCCCTGTGCAGGTCTGTCTAGTAGGCTAGGGCCTCATTGAGGTTAAGCCAATCAGCAGTCAGTGTCCTGGTGAGATGTGATGCAGGGCGAGCTGATTGGCCGGCTCACACTCTGGTGAGGCAAGAGCCTATAATGGCATTGCTCAAACAGAACTCAAACATCTCGCCACATCCCGGTCTCCAGCACAGGCATAGCCTACCCTCAACATAGAACAGTTGTGCTTTTTTTCTTCTTTTTTTTAGTATTGTGCTTTTTTTTTAGCAGGTATTAGAGAATAAATTGATATTGGTAAAATTATTTGAAACATTCAGCGACATGATTCATTTGGTGCTTTTTTTTGTTTATTTTTTGTCTTATCACTTTGTAATCTTATCACGTTGTAAAAAATGTAATATTTAAGTTGCTTTAAATGTTAGCAACACACAAGAATAAATAGTAATGCACACAATGGCAACCGACATTATTTTTTAATATGAAATGCATTCCTTGCCAGAGAAATAATGAATAGATTGGCAGGATTTTAGTTTTAAACCTTGCACATTTTCTTAGTGTTTGTTTATTTGGTTGCACTTGCCCAAGTGAGAAAGAGAATATAATAAATTCAAGCACAATACAACGTATATATATATTTTTTCTTTTATTACAAAAAAATATACAAAACTTTGCAGTTTATTATTTATTTAATAATTTGAATTGTGCCTTTGGGGGAAAAATAGCAAGCTTCCTTTCAGTCTTGAGCATGAAACATACTTTTCTAAACATCTGCCACTCTTTTCCATGACATAAAAAACAGAACCAACTTAATAAAAGCCATTTCAAACCTTCATAAATACGCAATGTGTTATGTATTGTTACATAAACCCAATACAGTAAGTGTTCAAACACAAAGAAATCAGTAATTGAACAAAGAACTGAATTGTGGCTCATAGCACCTTTTGAAATTTCTGTCCCATCATGCCGTAGCACTACTCCTTTCAGTTACGCAAGTCATTCAATACATTCCTGTCATAGTAAAAAAACGAATGTACATTCTGACTCGAGAAACACTGCGATCACTGCTGACGGCTGCGTTTGGCAATTCCATAGTCGTTCTGTAATATTCTACATGTATACCATCTATGTATCATAGTACTTTAAACTCCTCTCTGTGTCAGTACTGTCCTGTGCCATTTCCCTTTCTAAGTGAAAAGAAGTAAACTTTCTCTTTCCCTTTCTAATGTTGCTGTCCAGTTTGGCAACAAGTTGACAAAGATATGCTACCAGTTGCCATCACCATCAAATAAAAATAAAGTACAAAATTCTCTCCACTTTAAACCATCCAGTGGCCTTGTAAGTGACCTGAACTTCATTGATTTTAGAAAACAAATAATGCTATATGGCCTTCTTTATCTGTATGTTCCGGCTGCTGTGGAATATTAACTCAGATATGATTTAGAAATACAGACTCTAAGCTTGTAAACACAGCTGGTCTTGATTCCGGTCTTAAATTAATCCAGTCTCTTTAACAAATCAGGGAAACCATAAACAGTCATAAGTTTGTATTCATTTTGCGGTCCTTGAAAATAATCTAAATGACTAATCATTTGTGCCTTGAAGATGAGATCATCTTTCTTTATGGCCCTTTGCCTCTTCAATAGGCGACGTCTCAAGATGCCTGCTTAGTACATGTTCCTGGAGCTTCTTGCAAATTCACTTTTGATCTAAAGCCAAAAAAGAAAAAAGAAATTATACAGGTGTTTGCAGATGATAGTTTACGTTACAAAACATTGTCAGTCTATTATTATGATATTATATTGTGCAATATTTTAAATTGTAAGGTAATTTTATTAATAGGATATTAAGATTACAATTGTTAGAATGATATATTACTGTGTGTGTATATTCATATATATGAATAAAACTGTACTATTCAATATAAATTTAATATAATATTTGTAAAATTATATATATACTGTATATATATATATATATATATATATATTAGTGCTGTCAAACAATAAAAATATTTAATCGTGATTAATCGCATTAATGTCATAGTTAACTCATGATTGATCGCAATTAATCGCACTTTTTTATTTATTCTAAATGTCTCTTGATTTCTTTGTGTCCCTTTATTTTTTTCTCCTTTAAATGCTCTTATCAACATGGAAAAGTGGATCGGCTTGTTTTGTGCAAATGTTTTTTTATTGAAAACAACATTGGCATATACTGTGTTCAATTTCACACTAACGTTCTCACTTTGAGCAAATAATCTCTTACACAATGTAACTGTCCATCAATAAAAGGGTGAAAGAAATACTGACGAGGTCCTGATATTGACGAGGGGGCTGAGAATTCGCATCAGCTGTGTGTGTGCGTGTGTGTGTGTGTGCTTTGCCATCATCAAGTGGTATTTCAGACTGGACGTGCTGCGATGATGATAGCTCCGTTCACAACGACAAAACACACCGATCACTTTGATCTTGTCAATGGAACCATTTGGCAACTTTTTAAAAGTAAACTTTCCATTCAGAATCTTATTGGCATTCATTTCGGTGTCTCGCGCTCGTCATCCTCTCAAAACGTAACTTTAACCTACTATTTGGCCGGCTCGCAAGCCCAAACGAGTTTTGTTTTGTTTGCGGCGTCGTGCCTGTGTTTTAGCTAGATCCGCTTGCGCTTTGGTCGACGAAGCAACAAAACGTCCTCGCGCGGCGCAAGCCATTGAAATGAATGGGTTTCATAGCGCAGCGTCGCGCAGCACCGCGCACGCCGTGTCCTGTTGCAACAGCATGTGAAAAAAAACTACAAAGTTTGCTATGACAAAAAGACTGTTAATCGCGCGATAAAAAAATTGACGCCGTTAAAATGCGTTTGCGTTAACGCCGTTAATAACACGTTTAACTGACAGCCCTAATGTACATATATATATATATATATATATATATATATATATATATACATACATCCATACAGTAAATAATATTAATGTTCTATTCATATTTTATAAAGAATTCTTACCTGTTGTGAGTCATGTGACTTTTCACCAGGTGTCCGGCAGCAAGTGCAGACATGAGTGACAGCTCTCCTGCAAGCACGGTCCCACACACCACCTTGGCAAGCTGTCGGGCATTTTCGCCCGGACACACCTGACAGGCACCCAGAACACCTAACATCTGAGAGATAATAAAACTGAATGAGATGCTATGAGAGTGGCTTCAAAACTGTGCATCCACAATGAAACTAAAACACACGTCTGTCTTTCGTAAGAGTCAAATATTGATCCTGTATCGAATAGGTGTACGTACCTGTAAACAGGCCTGCTGTGGAGGAAGGTTAGTGCCTCCGCCCACAGTGCCCAGCTCAATGGAGGGCATAGTACAGCTGATATAAAGATCCTCCCCGGTGTGGCCTGAGGCTTCCATAATAGTGATACAATTAGAGCTGCCCACTGTCTGCGCCGGGTCCTGTCGAGAACAAATTTGCACGTATTGAAACTACTGTATATAATCACACAACACATGGTTATTCGTATCAAAATCATATGTCAAACAATACAGCATTAACTTTTATTACCTGTCCACAAGCAATATAGATAGCAGCTACAATGTTGGCGGCGTGAGCGTTATAACCTCCGATGCTTCCAGCCATAGCAGATCCAACCAGGTTCTTGTTTATGTTCACATCTACCAGAGCCGCAGTCGACGTCTTTAAAATCTATGGGAAAAAAAACTTAGTCTGGACTTTCATTCTAAAAACATACATTTCCATCCAATATGCAGCCAATGTGGGACTTTTTGTATATGATATGGTTGTGTACCTCTTTGACAACTTTAGCTGGAATGGTGGCCTCACACACCACTGATTTGCCCCTGCCTTCAATCCAGTTGATAGCAGCCGGTTTTTTGTCAGTACAGTAGTTTCCACTAACAGCCAAAACTTGAAGCTCTGGAAATTCCTCCTTCAGCCTGGCGAGAGCCTGTTCTGTGCCCTGGTGACCAAAGAGAAAAGAAACATAAAAACTCAAGTAATGAATCGTGTCAGGTCGGTTAAGATCATTTCAATATTTACAGTGACCGTGTTTAACGTAATTTTGTAAAGTGCAATTCAGCGTACTTTTGAGATCATGTTCATGCCCATTGCATCTCCAGTTTTGGACTGGAATCGAATGTACAGGTTGCGACTTGCCAAGCCAATCAGAAGCTTCTCTAATCGTGCGAACCTACACAAACAACATAAATATATGTTATAAAATCATAATTAACTGCACTACCACAATAAATCTGTTCAGTGAAATAGTCCCGTACCTGCTGGTCTGGTCAAAGGACTCCTTGATGGTCTTGAAGCCCTCAGCGCTCTCCAGATAGGCCTTGACTTCAGCCGCTTGACAGGCAGAGGGAAGACGCACCACCGGCCCTCTGGTCATTGCATCTGCAAGAACACGGCTACTTGCACCACCTCCCAACTGTGGAACAGTCATTCACGACAACATTACACTCATGCGATTTACACTAGACATTACGCAACTTTCCATCAGTTTAGGCTCCCTTTGAGAACTAACACAACACTCAACTAGGGAAAAATGCTTACAGCTATAGCTCTGCAGCCTCTATTTGTGCTGGCAACTAGACAGCCCTCAGTTGTTGCCATTGGGACCTGAAACTGCTTTCCATCCAATAACAGAGGACCAGCAACTCCCACAGGGACTGGCATGTAACCAATGACGTTCTCACAACATGTTCCCATCACCTAGAATAAAAAACATGAAAATTAATGGTGAGGTTTCCATCAAAGGCTCATAAAACCTCAATAAACTTCTAAATGTTCTGAGTATTTGTCAGGGTTGCTATACAGTTACTGGGGTGTTACTAAATAAATAGTGTTTCCTAGCCCAATTCAAAACAGTCCACCCTCAAAGTATGAGCTATTGCTCATTTTGGTATACATATAATTTTTCGTTTTTAAGTTTTAAGATTTAGTTAATACAATTTGTACTCTAGTCAGGAAGAATGCATTAAATTGAGCAAAAGTGACAGGCATATATTAATGTTTTTAAAAAAATCTATTTCAAATAAATGAAATAAATGCTGTTCTTCTGAACTTTATATTCATTAAAGAATCTAAAAAGTAATTAAAATATGATTAATGATGTTAAAAAATATATAGTTTAAAAAAAGCAGCAGATTTTTTTAACATTGATAATAATAATAATTGTTTCTTGAGCAGCAAATCAGCATATTACAATGATTTGAAGGATCGTGTGACACTGAAGACTGGAGTAATGATGCTGATAATTCAGTTTTTCCATAAAAGGAATAAATTACATTATTAACATAAAAAATAGAATGTATAGTTCTGTCAATTCTAACAAATTTGAAAGAGTTTACAAAATAAAAATATTTGTGTGTATATATATTTAGTATAATAGTTATTTATATTATGTATGTCTGTGTGTAGACATGCACCTATATTTATACACACATACAATATAAATAAATAAAATAATTTACACACACATTTATCATGTAAACAAAAACTTTTATGTTAGATGCAATTAATCAAGATTTATCGATTTGACAACACTAATTTTAACAGTATTACTGTTTATACTGTATTTTTTATTGTGAAAAAAATGCCGCTTTGGTTATCATAAGAGACTTCTTTCAAAAACATTAAATAATCTTATTGGATCATATCTTTTTGAACAAAATTTGGAATTTGCAAACGTTTCAATGTCAGTACAGTTTGTTCAAATCAATAAAGCACCACTAATTAAATGATGACCTCATGTCTTACCTTAGAGTAGTCATAGTCTTTATAAGGCAGACAGGAGAGAGCTGAGGGATCTGGGAATTTGGGGGAGAGCATTTTTCTACGGATCATCACCCCTCTCTCAGGGGTCTCCATCATGGCCTCCAGTTTGTAAGCTGGGATGTGCTTTGAGTTCACCAAATCGATCACCTCCTCATCACTGAGGTACCGAGCGCCCATCTGTGGAGCCAGAAGAGGTGACACTTAAATACTCACACTGATTATACTTGGATTAAGGTAACAGAAGTCTACTCTAGGAAGTAAATGGTTTCACTACAAGCTTCTGATCTTGTCTAACGTCATAAACTAATTGGCTAAGAGTCAGAGTAAAGACGAAGAGGAGGATCTTATTGGAGATTACATGGGTCAACACTGAGGTAAAAAATAACTACAGGTTTCAGTCCCACAGTGAACCCAGGGTTAATCTTGACGTAGAAAAGAAAAACAACAAGAGAAACAGTATCACTGGGATATTAAACAACGCTCTTACATCTTGGTTTTTCAGAATGGACAGACAATCTTCCACAGGTCTAGGTTCGGCAGGTACACTGATAGCAGTCTCCGAAACATCAGCGTTTTCCTGAGTTTCATCCTCTCCCAGAACAAAATTACTTTTATGCTCAGGCTCTTTCAGGACAGGCAGGGGCCGAATCACTAAATCTGAAAGAGAGAAATTACTGTTAGATTCCATTATAGAGTGATGGTTCACAAAAATGAAAAGACAAGAGGGTAATACCTCTTTCCTCTTTGGTAACAACAGGAAGGGGAGTTGGGGTTTTCTCAGGCTTGCTAGCACAGGAAACCTCTTTCCTACAGCACTGATCAGGAGACCACTTCTGCGAGAGCATGGAGCCTGGAGTGGGAACTTTCAGGGACAGGGTAGATTCCATCTCCACTTGCTCGAAGAAAATGTACTTCACAGCCAGGAATAGGGCGAGACCCAATGTGATCACCTGCTCAATGTCCATGCTGATCATCCTAAACACACAGAATAAAATGATAATCACATTATTGTCTTATTACTATTATTATTAAAGGGATACTCCACTTTTTTTTGGAAATAGGCTCATTTTACCATTCCCCCAGAGTTAAACAGTTGGGTTTTACCGTTTTCGAATCCATTCAGATGATTTTTTATATTTAGAATAATATCAGTAACCAGACAGTTTCTGGTCTCATTGACTTCCATAGTAAATTTTTTTTTTCCTACTATGGAAGTCAATGAGACCAGAAACTGTCTGGTTACTGATATTCTTCTAAATATCAGAAAATCGGCTGTATGGATTTGAAAACGGTAAAACTCAATTGTTTGACTCTGGGGGAGTGGTAAAATGAGCCTATTTCCAAAAAAAGTGGAGTATCCCTTTATGGATGCATGATGATTTATCAGTATCATATTGGTTATTAACAAATATTAGAGATTTTCTTTTCAATATTTTAGGATATTTAATTGTGCATGATCATATCTATTATTTTTTTACTAAGGATGCCCCGAAATTTCAGCAACCCAAAAATGGTTTTGGAGTCCATAGAAAACAAAAGACACAGAGAGTGCATCCTGAATTTTCAGTTTCAGCCCAGAATTGTCATTTCGGTGCATTTCAATTAGTAATTTAACATGCATCCCTAATTATTATACAATGCAGTATGCAATATTATAAAAAATGAAATTTGCATGCATTTAGCTGCAGAGATTTAGTTGTACTATTGATACGTATAACTGTCTATTTTGAACTATTTGTTCTAAAGTGTAGAAAAGTCAGAAGTTTAGACCTGGAGACGTTGAGGTATCTTTCAAGCAGGAGTTCTTTACTGCGTCACGGTAGCATCTCAATCTCGTCTGACTAAGGGAACTTTTACATTGCAATTTATACATTTAGGGAGAGGGTTTACATAAAGGTGGAGCAAACTTGTATACAGGTTTAGAAAACCTGTATTACCTGAGAGTAATAACTTATTCAAACAATGGGACTCAAGAACAGGAATGCTAGGACCCTCTCTTGATGAGACAAAATCTCACGAGTGTCCCCAAGAATTTCAGTAATCTGTCTGTTTCATTTAATTTACAATAGAGGGAAACAGGTCTGGCGGTTGTATAGAGAGAAACAGAACAGGACAGGAATCTCGTGCTCAACAGCAAAATGCTAAATTCAATCTACAGAACTTTCTCAGTTTATATACTCTTGTACTGGAACCTAAATTAAACATTTAAATAAATTTGTAATCCTACATATTGAAACATGTGGGGAAAAAAAAACATTCAATGGCCAATCATGGCCAAAACCAGCATTTTTGTTAATAAAATAAATAAGACCTCTGAAGTGTGCCCACCTGGACATGTAAAAGTGCCACAGGGGCATGTCTGGTTCAATCCTCTTGGGCATATTGTCATTCAGGCTCACTCCAACTTGAGGAAGATCAAGAGTTCCTTTACTTGACGTGGGATCGGCAATCCACCGGCTATGAGCGTGAACCATGACCAGGCCAAGAGACTGCAAATATTAAACATGATCCAGACCATTAGAGACCAAACCATTAATATCACAAACCCCAGTATCAAAAAAATTGTTGTAACGGTCTTGTTCTGTTGTTTTTTTTTTTTTTTTTTATTCTGTTCCCTGTGCTGCTTTTCTAGAGTTCGGTTTGCAAGGTACAGTAGTTTCTATGGTTTCTGATTTCACTACATTCATCTGTTGTTTTTAGGTACCCTGTTATCTCCGTGTATTTATACCCTTCATTTCCCTTTTTCGTTATCCTGTCTCCTCTTAGTTTTACTTGATAGTTGTTTATAGCTTTCCAGTGTTCTGCATTTCTTCAATATAGTGATTAAAGACTTATTCAAGTCACTTTTGTGCGATTTGTGCAACTAAGTGTGACAACTGTAGTGTTTTTGGTTCAGTGTGTACCATGATCATTTTGACTCTTTGTGTGACAGGGTTAGGCTTGTTGTCTTCTTCCTCTTCCAGAACTCTAGAGAAGTGGCTCAGCTGCCAGATGGGTCGTCCCTCCCTGCTTTCTCTGGACAACTGATTGAAATAGACATAAAAATTAGAATATGTTCTAGTCTTCATTTATGCGCACTGCGCAAATAATCTTACATACCTCCAACACAAGAGAGACACAGGCCGGGAAGAAGGTCATGAACACAAAGTAGTTAGCCAGGACAGACATACAACCAAAGCAGCACATGATCTCAAGCTGTCGCACACCTGCAGGAAGACGAAAGGGTAAAATAAAGTTAAGTTTATTACTGCTGGGTTAAACAGATCTGTTTAATGTTAGCACATTCCACCTGTACTAATCTTCTGTCTCATATGGAAGGGTGAAGTTTACCTGACATTGTTCCCACACCGATCACCAGGCACTCCACAAGGGCATCAAGAGTAAAAGTAGGTCCTAAAACGGCCATTCCTTTGGCAATGTTCTCTCTCACCTCATCCTGCAGGACAGCCAAAAAGCCATTTACAAAAACCCAAGACTTGCATGATTGGTCGTATTTACTTAACCCTCAGTTTAATGTAAGAAATATGGAATGGACTGGAAAAAAAAAAGCGAAAAGGTGAAATACCTGTGAGTTGGAACTCAAAGCAAACTTGGCCAGAGCACATGCTTTTGAGAGGTCAATCAACAGCAGAAAGAATGGCAAGGCCTCACTGTGAATATTAATACACAATATAAACATATAAAATTTGTACAAAGAATTTTGCAAAGCAATACTTCAAAAATTTCAAGTGAGATGATATCTCATATGTACATACTTGAGGCCTGTCAGCTCCTTGTCCAGGAAGTGAATCACAACCGTGCTGAACACAAAACTGGAGAATATTGTGAAAAGTCCTGCAATGCCTGAAATGCAAATTTAAAAATGAACACTTGCAATTCAAGTTACCTCACCTCACAAATTGTATTAACTAAGTTTAAAAGCTACAACTCACCCAATATGTATTTGGATCCTAATTGTCGAAGATTTTGGAATTGAAAATAAATATAGACGATTGCTATACATCTTGTGATTGTCAGGATAATGATATCGCTGCTTAGGATTTGCTGAAGACAAGATAGAAAGGGAAAAAAAACATAATATTATAATTCAAAGAGAAAATAATATCATTCAACTTTACTTTAACCGCCACCATGATATAATCTATTTAACTGTACCTCCTCTAATTTGGGGCAATCAAAGTTCCACCCACAAATCTCATCATTTCCAGTGAACATGTTCATGGACATCATGCAGATGGTGAGAGTCACAGTAGCCACAATGACTTCCCAAGGATGGGAGGCCACAAAGAGGCCGTGGATTCGGAAAAGTCTCGTCAGCATGATGAAGGCTGTGTTGTAGTCTCTTACTCTAGATGACAAAAGCAAAGAAGAAAAGACACTTGTTGACAGAAATCACTAATAACATTGCAATTTCATGAGTATAAAATCAAATCATGCACAAAATACACAACACATTTGTGAAAGAAAGAAACATTTAAAAGTACTCCGAGATCAAAACTTCATCATGGTTCTTTCACTTCTGTCTGGTTTTATCTTAGTGGGTGACAGATCTCTGACATTTCTGGTTTGTCATGTCCTTGTGTTCTAGTTCTGTTATTGTGAGCACATGGCTTGTCATGTGTTTCATGTGCTCTCCTGTCAATTGTCTAGCCCCTCCCATCTTGTTATCTGATTATTGGTTAATTTGTCCCACCTGTCCAGCTCGTTACCATCCTTTGTTTGTTCCCCTATTTAGCCTCCCTGTGTTTGGAGTCGTGTGCTGGTTTGTTGCCAATGTTTCCCAATGTCTCCTGGTTTTGCATGAAGTAGTGATGGCCAAATGAAGCGTTTCAAAGCATTATTGCTTTCTGATACTATTGTGTCGAAAATGGTTAATTACTCGAAGCTTCATTCAGATAGAAATGGCAGCACCATCTCCTGGTGAAGTAAATGCAATGGTAATGCAACAAAGCTGACAACCATAAAATGCAAGTAGGCGTGTGTTAACGCCCCGTTTATGACGAGTTTACTGAAGCGATCAAAGCTGAAACAGTATTAGTGCTGTGAAACTCATGTAGGTAAATTTTACAGATACGGATGAATTTCATGTGTTCACCTTGATAATAAAACAATAAGGATGATGATGAGTGTGTGTAATTATTTCTTTAGACAAGGACAGAAGATCAGACCAGCTTAAAAAAAGTTGGAAACCATCAGAGAAATTCTAATGGTTTCAATTAAGATACCAATAAGGAACCATTTTCTTTTACCATTTAAACCATGTTTTCCATGAGTATTGAAACCATGACATTAGCTGCTTCTTTCCTATGGGAACCACCAGAACTCTGTAACTTTACTGGTGGGACTGATATTTTTGTATGTTGAAAGGATGTGTAACTGGTTGAACTTGAATAATGTAGCAGAGGGTTTTTAAAGTTTCTGTCTTTCTCCATGTCATTCACTAGATATGAAAAATATTTGTATGCAGAAATGTCAAAGAACTAATCTTATTCGGGAAAATAAGTTTAAAGTGTTCCCAAACTTGCGAACGACTTTCTCGATGGCTCCATCACAACACTAAAATAAACTCAATCCACTCTCAATAATAACGCCAATCCAAACACCGAGTACTACTAACCCACGGTGTTGCCATGGTTTGGCTTCACTTTTATGAAAAATACAGCCGCCAGGTTTCAAACCTGTCAACACTGGATCGGGCTGTCAAAGCAGTCAGCAGTTTCACTACGGAGTGAACCAGTGTGTTTGCTTCAGACGTCATTTTCACGTGACTAGTGACGTAATGATACCAGCTCCGAAGCAGTGGTTCATTACAAGGACCTTTCGAGTTTGAAGCAAGCTTCGGAGCGTCGGTGTCAGACATAACATCACTAGCATGAAGCCTTTCTTGATTTACTCCAGCTCGGTTGCAATCTTTTGAGGGAACCTGCCTGGCCAGATTCTCTGGGATTTGTGGAGGCCATGGAGGGGGGCATGGTTGTCGTGGGCACCAACATCAGTCCGCAGTCCAGTCGCCCTTCAGCCAGGTTCCTGTGCACGTGGTTCCGTCCAGCACAGTGCCTTCACCGCTGGTCTCGTTCAGCCCTGCCGAGCCTGCGCTTCACGTCCCATCTGCTCAGCCAAGTCCAGTGTTCCGGGAGGACCTGACGTCAGGGGTCTCAGGTTCAATGGTCCAGGAGGACTTGACTTCGGGGGTCTCAGTTTCATTGGTGGCCAAGGAGGTGGCAGTACAGCCACGACCACGTAAACAGCGGAGGAGGAGAACTACCCGGATCCTTTCGTTCCCACCATCAGTTCTGCCATGGCCAAGAGAACGGTTCTGTCCTTCTATGCATTGGCCATGCTGCATGCATGGAAGAAGCACGTCACGTCTGCCCATGCAGAGACCGCTTCCGTCATGTCTACCCATCCAGAGACTGCTCACGTCCCTTCCATCGAGCCAGTGTCTCCGTACAAAATGGCTGCCACGCCTGAACCTGAGCCCTCAGCGGAGATGGCCGCCGCCACACCTAAACCTGAGCCAGTGTCTGTTCCTGCTCCCTAGCCGCCCAAGTGGTCGTCTTCACCCTGGCCACCCAAGGGGAGGTCTCAGTCCTGGCTGCCCTATGGACTACCTACTTCGCCCTGGCCCCCCGAAGGGCCTGCTCTGCCTTGGTCACCTACATCATATCTGCTGTGACAGATGACAGTGTCATCTGTTTCTGTATTTACAGTCTTGATTGTATGACCAATAGTTACTGACAAATTACTTTAGTAAAAGTACAATTTACTTTTACAATTTAATAAGTAAATTGACAAATTATGAGAATTAATATCTATTTATTTTTTTACTTTTACCGTGTGGTGGTAAGTAGGCTACTTACTTTTGTAGTCAATTAACCCAAATGACTCACAGAAATTCACTCATGATTCGATTTTTTTTTTAATATTCCCTTTCAATAATTTCTTTAAATATTTGCAATAAAAGTGTATCAATAAAAATTATATTTATGTTCTGAATCTTAGCCTATATATATATCACCAACAATGATGAGCAACTGATGCAATAATCATGCGGAAACGAACTGAAGGAAACTGATATTGGAGTCATGGATGGCATGGTATATTAAGCAGGCATATGTAAAGTAAAAGTTATGGCTGTAGATCTCGATGCAGGTACTTACCAGTGAGGGTCAATGAGGGTTAAAGAATAAGTAGCCTGACAGTTACACCAAGCGCAGATCACTGTCAAATCCTCCACATTAGATCACATCCGATTAAATAAATAAACGACTCTAGATATTTCCACTGTTACAAATTAAAATTTAGCGGTGTTTTTCATAATTAAAGCGGCCGAGATAAATAAATACAGACGATATTAATCCATATCCAGTCGTCTGAGACAGGACTCCAGCCGCTAACACCGGCATCCTCTAGGCTTATATGAAGCGATGGCATGGCTCTGCGTCAGTCGAGTGAGGAGCCAATCAAATCGTCGAACCATACTGATACGCGAGAATGCCACACCCAATTCTTCCAGTAAACCGTGTATATGTCTATGCAGTAAACGGTGTTTGAAGGCGTTTGGAGGAGTGTCCTGACTGAGAACGCGTGATCTGGCCATCATCATTTGAATGCGTGTGTGTTGGGGCGGTTATATTACAATGTGGGGACAAATATGGGGTGATAGTAAACCCTGGGATCTATGTGGGTACCAGGTCAGCCAGCGGTCCACACGAGGGAAATGTGTTAATAAATTATGTTTTTGAAAATGTAAAATAATAGGGAATAGAAAATACAGTTTGTACAGTATAAAACCATTATGTCTATGGAGAGTCCCTAAGATAGCGAACCAGACTGTGTGTGTGTGTGTGTGTGTGTGTGTGTGTGTCTGATCCTTGGCGCAGCCTTGACCTTTAAAAATATCGAGATATGAAAATATCCGACCTTGAAATTAAATAGGCTACAATATCATTGGATTTTGTAATCACACTCTCAATAAACTTGGTTAACCTTTTTTTTTAATCAATAACAATTATCTGATGATCTGTTTCATGAAACGTATATTCCAGAACTTTTGACAAAATAAGAAACATTTAACAAACATCTTATATTAACTCCATGGCTTATTTTATTTTGTCAAAAGTTCTGGAATATACGTTTGTTTACATTTAAATGTGCAAATATTACACAAATGGTTTAGTTTGGCCTGCAAATACTTACTCATTTTTATGTATTAAAATTGCCAGTAGTTGCTGGAATTTAGAACCAAGTCCCTCTACATAATAAACTCTTCTTAGAACTAAACCAAGTTTGCCTGGATTTTGACTCTGGCTGAGTAACGTACATTTATTCATTTAGCTGAATGAATGAATTAATTATTCAATAATTAGTATTCAGTATTTTATTCTACAATAATATTTTGATATCAATATATTAATATATTATTGTAGGATTTCTAATCTCCTTATAAATTATAACTTACAACATTATTTTTCATGTGTGTTTTGTTCAAACCATAGACTGTAAAAAAAAAAAAAAAAATGAAAGAAGAAAAACAATATTAAAGAGCTCGTCGCGATCTTGATTTTGACCAATCAGATTAAAGGAGAAATTTGGCGCCAATCATCAACAGAAATAACAAACCTTCATAGAAATCTTTGCCGAATATTCATAAAAAGCTCAGGCGTTACTCTGTTAAGCGCCATGTGTCGTATTGTTTAATGCAAACAAATATGGATTTAAACCAGGATGAGACCATCGCGACCGATGACGACAGTGGTGAAGTAGACGAGAGCTTTTACCTTAGCAGGTCATCTGATTAACGTCTTCAGTTCAGTTTTTTGACCAAAAAATGTAGCGAAAATTCGAGATTTGCAATGGTAAAGACTGATTAATATATTATTGTAGGTTAATGTTGACTGGATATCAGTTATCGTCCCCCATCGTCTCTCCTGGAGCCCTGAGTGAAGGTATGATCATGTTACGTTAACGTTAACTTAATAATCGAACTCAGCTAAGTTAGTTTCTTGAGAAATGTCATTTTCGATTTTGATACTGCAAATATCAAAGTTTTAAACTAAATGTATACATTTCTGAAGAAATTTTAGTGGTGCTTTTTACCCTTGCAAAACTTAACTATGATGCGTGAGTGTTATCTGTTATTATCATATTACAACGTATGGTTGTGCTGTCCCGATTCAAAAGATTCGAGTCACTGTAGCTAATCATTGACTCGAAGCAGCACTAACTACATTAAGTTACCAACAACTGTACAGTTGAGGCTGAAGTTTAAGTAACGTTAATCTCTTTGGTTTACAGAGATTTCTCCTCAGATTGGCCTGCAGTGTTCCACCAGACAGAGCAGAAAGCCATTTACTACAGAAAAGGTAACTTAACATTAGATTACATTATACTATCCTAATCAAATCTGCACCACTGCAATTGAATTTACATTATATGTGTTGAATTCTTTTTATTTTATTTTATAATGAGCAGACAACTGGCACCATGGTTCAACCAGCAAATCTTGTAAGGTTTGTACACCTTGTTTTTAGACTTGTAAAAATACACACTCAAATTTAAAATTCACTGAATAATAATTAGACTTTTTTTCTGTTTATCAGAGTTCAAGCTATTCTTAATGAAGAAGAAATTTCTCCAGAAAGGGAAAACAGTGAAGGTAACCCAGTCGATGTACAACGACTGAAAATGTAAAGTTTAAACAAGTCCCATGAGACCAACCCCCCAAAAAAATGTAGTGCCTTGCAAATGAAGAATTCAATATTGTTAACTATATCATTTTAAAACGAGTTGACTGTCAGCTAAGCAAATGATCCACCCTGCTTCATGGTTTCAGTGATTCTATGAGCAGTTCATACTTCATACTCCTGCTTTGTGACTAATTCTTATGTAACTTCTGCCCCCTAGTGGTGAGTCCCATTCCCACACATGGCAGCAACTCTGATGCTTCTCACCTGGAGCCTGGACCTTCTTTGAGACGTTCATTGAGAATAAGTGCTAAGAATATCGGAAATAAAACTGAACCATTGGCCACAATGAAGAGTACACAACTACTTAACACTCAACAAAGGTCAATCTTGATTTTTGAATATGCAATATGGAATTCACTGATTATTAACTTTCGTATTGTCGATTGCTAAAACATAGCAGGGTCTTAAACCATACTGAAAATTTGAGGTTCAAAATCTCATTTAAACCTGAAGATAAATAAAGCTTTCACATTATTAACATTGTAAAACAAAGAAATGTCATGATGGGAAAATTTCTAGGGGTGCGTCTCAATCAGCTCCCTAGTTCAGCAGTCAAGGCACTTCAACTTTTGCTCCCTAAAAAAGTCCCACAACGCACTGAAAAAACAAGGGATCATCAATGCTCACAGTGCTCCCATAACGGAAGTTCTGAAGCATGAAAACAAATTGTGCCATGCCAGCCAACTTAATAGACATGACACTCTAAGACGGTCTATATTGATTCAATGAGAGTATCCAATTATTATACAAAGAAGGTTTCTCGCGTGATCTGTCTTTTCTCATGGCAAAGTATTGTGGGTCAAATGCAATACATTTTCTCTTAAGTATTTTGTAGTTATTTCATCTGACTCCATAAATGAAAAGGTTTTAATGATATCTGTACATCATTTAATAAACATCTCTGGATGGTGAAAACGACATCTCCCATCGTTCAACTCTCCCTCATAGCGTCATCAGGCTTCGCATTTGTTATTGTTGGTAACTGCGCCCTCTTATGGTGAAAAATTCCTACATAATGTACCTTTAAAGAGCCGCAAAAACCAGTAACACTAACAGTATAGCTGTCAAACAATTAATCGCATCCAAAATAAAAGTTTGTGTTTACATAATATATGTGGGTGCACTGTGCATAATTCTTTTGTATATATATAAATACACACACATGCGTGTATATTTAAGAAAAAAATATAATTTATATATAAAATATTTATATATAATATAAATTTTATATAAATCTATATACAGTATATACATGAACATATTTCTTAAATATATACAAGCATGTGTGTGTATTTATATATAATAATTATACACAGTGCACCCACATATATTATGTAAACACAAACTTTTATTTTGGATGCGATTAATCGTTTGACAGCCCTAACTAACAGTGTGGATGAATCGCGTTTAGGTTGAAGACTCAGGATCTATTGAAGAGAACTTAATGCACTGCAGAATCTCTTACAAAGCAAAATCAAACACTAATTTTTGATCCAATAATAAAGTATCTCTCACTTACTGTATGAGATTCACTGTTCGAAGCTCCTGTCATAGGAACTCAACTTGTGCTGTCATGAATAATTAAGCAGGGTGTTTTCTCATAGGATAAGGACACATAGTCTCATGAATAATTATTAGACACAGATGAGTCATCGATGTAGCATAGTTCAAGAAAACGAAACAAAGACGAATTTAAACCCAGAAGTTGAAAATAGCTCAAAAAGGTTTTAGGAACTAGTTTTGACAGATTGTAACATTGTGACTTCTATGATGTTCAACACACATGACTCGACTCTGTAAAAATCTCAGGATAAGAATGTAGAGAAAAGTTCTGCTGTTTTTTACAAAGTGACGTGATAACTTCGGCACTCTATAGTATAAACAAATAAAGAAAGTGCTGTGACAAATTATTATGTCATTGTTTACAATGACAAGTCATTTGTTCTTTCTTTTACAAAATGGTGATGGTCAAAATGGTGATGGTACAACATTAAAGATAGTCTTTAGAACTTCATGGTCTAATCCAACTTTTCACTGTAATTGTTATGCTGATAATTTGACCCTACTGTATGTTATTTATTTATTTCAGCTACTCTATACCGATCACATCTATATGCTCTATTTCAATATGACTGTTTGTAAACTTTATATTTCTGTTTATGTACAGGTCACTGAAGGAGAATCCAAAGACTAAAGAGTACAATGAAGGGTTTAATGCACCTACACATGAAAACCAGACATTACTCACTAAACCCCTCGTCAGTCCAGGCAAGTGCTCAAATCTGACCACTAAAATTAAGCTACATTTGTCGACAGGTAACATTACAGTATGTGTTCTTGTTGATTTTGTATAGAAATATGAATGTACAGATTAATTTAAGCTTTTATTCACAATGAAAGATTAATCAGCGGACAAAACAGAAGCTCAACCAAACCTCAGTAGTTCTTGCGAAGCTCAAACATGCTCCGTAACAAACAAGAATGAATCTCATTGGTTCTCGCACGTCAAGCAAACATGCTCGAACTTCCGTTTATCACAACTGATGCTTGAGTTGATGAATGTGATATGTGAATGAAAGCCTAAATTCAACATATTCATCATGTAAAGCAATCGAGTCTCTTCAGAAAATTTGGACTTTACAGCTCAATTCATATGGATTACACATCAAAATCCCCAGTATTAAATTAACACTGAAAGTGTGAATTATATAAACTCTGAGCAGAGTGTTAAATGAACACTGAAGCAGTGTTACAGTTAATGAGATGAGTGACGATTGAGTATATTTGAAGACACCTGATGGTTTTACCTTTTCTATTTATTCACATCTGGCTGTTATATCTCATGTAACGCAGCCAAACAAAATATAAAGTTAATGATTTAAGGGTCAAGAGTCCAAATAAAGTGAACACTGACCACCATAATGGTGACTTACAATTACGGTTTTCTCCTTCAGTGATTCTGCTTGTTAGGTGTCTTCAATAATGCTCAATTATCACTCAATTATTCACTTAATTATCTCATTAACTTTAACACTGCTTGGGTCGTCACAATATCTTGTAGGACACAATGTCCCCTAGGCACAATGTCTTGTAGGTCAAATGTATAGTTTGTCCGATTTTAATGGCATTAGGCTAACAATTTTGAATGATTTAAAAAATTGTTTTGGGAGTAAAGTTCATAAATTATTGTTCTGTCCCATATGATTTTGTAAAACTATGTTGAGACCTCTGTCACTCTAGGGGGGTTCGGGGGCATGCTCCCCCGCAAGAAAATTTTGTACATTTTAAGGTTAAATGCATCAATCTGGTGCACTTTGAGAGCTCAAAATTAAGAGCTTTAACCGGCTTCAACCCATGAACTGTAACATTGAACAAAGCAAAAGCCTCAACTTGTACCTGGACATTAAAGAGCATCTTTTTAGTTATGATATAAAGTCTCAGTCTGTTTTAGAATGCCAAACGATTATTATAATAATGTAATAATGATTTATATAATTATTCCTATTACATAAAATCCATATAGGCCTAGCCTATAAATGTACTCTATAAATGAAAATTAATATTTCAAAAGTATATTTTACTTACACTATTGTATAGGAAAATTACAATAGTTTTCTCCTAATTTCTTCACTTGCAAGAAAACCCTTGAGCTTTTATTTTGGAGAAAACATCAGATCAGTGCGCACTTTTCTTTAAATCACGCAGCAGAAACTGAATGGCTATATAGGCTACTTAATTACAGTCTTGTGCTGTATTATAAAGGCACAATATCATATCACGGTTTCGGTGTTGGGAAAAGGGAGAAGAGGGAGTTCGGCAAAAGGCGGATTCGAACTCTGGTCGAACGCGTCAAAAATTGCTTTCAACCACCTCATGCTCTCGCCCTTCGCCACTGCAGATATTAAGTTAGAGGTATCTTTTTTGCTAAAAACACAGGGACGTAGTGCAAATGTACACTCTCAACTCACGTTCAAAGTCATAGGCAGCGCAGCGTCTCTCTGTGCATCGCAAAAGCCAGTGTTGTTGACAGTTTGTTTAATATAAAGCGGGAGATTACCAGATACAGTATTTTGCTCGTGCCCTGTGGGTGTTGTAGCCTAGGCAACTGTATCACGTGCCGTTTGAACTGACGCGCTACTGCGATCTGTCACATTTAAAAGCGCCGAAACGTTCCATATCAAATGTAAACTTCTCTGTCTAGTCTGTCGGTGTCATCTTTTCCCGCGATTTTTCTTTAAAATTTTTTATGTCTAATTTAGCGTGAGATTTCTTTGTTGAGCGTGAGACCGTGAGATTGAGGCTGAATGCGTGAGTGTCACGCCAGATGCGTGAGAGTTGGCAACCCTGCCTTACAATTTTATCTCAACTTGCATTTTTGCATTTTATTTTCTTCCATCTTATGCACATTAAATATGGTAAACGGAAGCTCAAACGTGTGCATCGGACGTGCAAGAACCAATGATCTTTTGTTTTTGCGCATCAAGTAGATGCGTTTCAGCTACAGTTATAACTTTCATCAGGAAAATTTCTGGCTATCAAATTTCTTCGCCATCAAATCTGAGGAAGCATATTGAGGTAGCCAAGTTGTTTTTTCACCCCTCAAAAATAATTTTTCATGTTTTGATATAGCCATTAGCTGTCTATGTAGTATATTGCCTGCATCCCAATGAGGGCTGGATTTTTTGTGTGTTTCACTGTGCTGCAATTTAATTGTTTTTGACCTGTGCCATGGTGTTTTGTTTGATTTTCGCCAATTTATTTGTATGCACATTTTCAATATGATGAAACAAGAATCTCCTTTCTCATTCTTTTGATTGGATACTTCTACTTTATATTCCAGTTTAAAGTTGTACTTTTTTACTTTAAATTGAGTAAAAGTTTCACTGAGTATTTGTACTTTCACTTAATTTTTGAGTACTTTCCACATCCCTGCCCTTAGGTTTCCATGGCAAAGGCATTATAAAACGAAAGACAGGGACATCCCTATCACTCAAAAGCATTCACAAGCGGAATCGATTTGGAGAGACAAAGCTGCATTTTGCTGTGATGCGGGAAAACATTCAAGACGTCAAAGACTTACTCACAGTTGATGATTGTGACGTGAACGTAACGGATTATGCAGGTACGACATGTTGGAGGATATTTAAAATATATAAAATTGTTAATTTCTCTATCAACCTTTTTTTAAAGTAAGAGTGAGTGCTGCCTAGAGGTGGGCGATATGACCAAATTCTCAATATGAGTCAATTTATTTCGTTAATAATGGTATATATCACAATATAATTATTTTTGCTTTGAATAAGGTTGTTATGATAGCAGTCTTTCTAAAGGCATGCACATATAAGCAGTACTCAAAAACGCATGCAAACGATAAGCTTTTGTAACTCTGTTACACAGCAACATCACATGAGCATGACCGCAATAGAGAGTCCAAAATCTCTTATCGGTTGACAAATTTCTACTGGTGTGTACTGACATATTGCCCACCCTTAGTGCAGACATTTTTAAGTTGAATGTGCGAGGCTTCCAGTGTCTCACACACGCACTTCACTATAAAACACGCAGCTAGCGCATATATTCATATAATTAAATCGCAGCATTTGCGATTTACAAATCGCATTAACCAATATCGTGATATCGATTCAACGTTATATCGCAACAGTATATCGCGCAGCCCTAGACTAAACTGTTTTTCCCTTACGAAAAAGAAGTATACTTCAAGTTCATTTTATGTAGTATACTAAAAGGGATACTTCAGGATTTAGCATTAAGCTTTGTATTAGTAGAAAACCTGTACTATTTTCGAATTACCATGCTTTCCACCCTCATATCCCCCTGAGACGAGAGATTTATGTTTTTTTGTTTGTTTGTTTTTTTGTCTGGAAAAAAAATCTTCTGATGATGCAAAAAAAAAATTTTCAAGAATTTTTTTCGCCTTTCAGAGGATGAAGACTACAGCCAGTAGTAGGGGCTGTTCCGCATGTTTTTAACCCGCTCATAGAGAGATCTCACTCACAGAATGTACACATACTATCAGCAGTAGTAGTGGTTACCATCCTCTTTTTTCAGATTCAGCTTTTGCTTTCTGCAGTCGCCATTCATATTACAGGATATTAGACTACAGAAAGAACAAACAACCCCATTTTCGTTTCCGGCGGCAGAGTAATACCGTACATCACACAACATACAATACATGTCAATGGAGTTGTACAAAAACTACAATAAAACCTGTTTGAAAGCATCTTTTGCAGCGATTTTTGTGTGATCCACAGTTTGATAGCCCTTGTTCTTGTTAATTTCCCATAGCTGCTTACAAATCTGAATTTCGCTCAATCACAAAAAAATTGCTTACATCTGCATTGCAAAATAAGGTGGAAAGGATATCACTTTTTTCCTCAAATCCTCCCACAAGCTTTTTTGACACCCTGGTTGTACACAAATGGTTGAAGTTAGCACATATTTCCACCTGATGGCATTGTGGACCAACATTTCTCAACTTCATTGTTAGGTTGGACTCCACTTCATGAGGCAGTGTACAGAAACAACTATGACTTGACAGAAATTTTACTTGAAGCTGGAGCCCTAGTCAACTGCAGAGGAGATAATGGAATTACACCTTTACATGATGCAATACACTTTCAGTATTACAAGGTGTGTTAATTGTATTTAATGGTTAATTATTATTAATAAAAATATGCCTGTGAAATACAGACTGTTATAGTTATTATAATGAATACATATGCTTACAGATAGTAGATCTACTTCTGAAGAATGGTGCTAATCTATTATCAAAGTGTGACAGAGGGAAGACTCCTATGGACATGACCACAGACAGATCTTTGGACATACTGTTGGAGAAATACCTGCAAAAGCCTAAAATAAACACTTGTACAGGTTTGTATCCTATTTAAATATACAAATCAGATTTTTCCTACTATACAAAAAAAAGTGTTATTGTTTATTTATTTATTTATTTATTATTTTTGGATAGCTGAAAATCCACCCATAGCCACTAATTTGCCATTGAATCCAAATATGAGCAAAATAATCAACCAGAACTCCGTCACAGTAAGCCAAATGTGATACATCATTAAATAAAATATCCGCTGTCACTGATCATTACATGATCGGTTTACTGATCAGTTACTTTTGTTTCATTTAATTTTGAGAACACAAGAGCTCCTCTTCAGAAATCTGCTGTCGAAGGAACTGCTGATACAAGTGAGCATGAAAGCAGCCTGCAGTCTTGTGAAGCTGAACCCATTCCTGGTCCAAGCAGAGAACAACCAAACTGTGATCCATCCAAGATGTTTAAGGCCCCTTTCAAAGGTTCTTTTCTATATTAGTCAAGGGTTTTGGGAACTAGATATGTCTCATGCAATATTTAATTGGGGTAAATGTGCACCCTTCAAGAGTATCATCTAGTCACTGTGATGATCGCAAAATTACCCGACGGTGAAATACACATACGTTCAAAATCTATTTTCTATGTTAGTTTAAGTTTGCCATTTTAAATTAGGACAAATATTGCCTTTTAAGATATATCAGATAATTTCTTTCATCTGATATGAATCTGATTTCCATTTAAAGGGGTGATGAACTGAGAAATCAAATTTTCCTTGAGCTTTTGACATCTCTGAGGTCATCATATTATAAGAACATCCTGTAAGTTTCAGAACTGAATAAGTCCTTGTTAGTCCAATAAAAGCTTTTATTGACACCAGGCTCAGCAAACAACTTGTTTTTCAAAGTGGGGAACTATGTGGGAAGAGGATAAAACACCACCCCCGCAGAAGATAAACGCCTACTTTAACACGTCCAGTTTAGCCCCGCCCACCGATTCAGCGCACTACACGCATAGCTAAATAACATAGGCCTACCTTGTGATTACAAACCGGATCGAGCTACAGAGCAATACAGAATATTTTGCAGTGCCTGGTTGTGGAAGGAGACAGTCGCTATATGCTTCCTCTGGATTCCAATAGGACTGCATGTATAAACTTTATTTTTAATGACGTTCCAGCTGATGAGTTAAATCGGTTACCTAACGTTTACTCGGTTCTCTCTAGATGAGGGAACGAGTATTGCGCAAGCTAGATTAATCTTTTCGGAGAAGTTGAAGCCAAAAAATTATTCCATAATTTGTATCCATTGTCAATGCAGTTCTGCTGCAGCAGACCATGAGCGGGCTAGCTAGCAGCTCATTGGTTCGCTCAGAGAGAACTGCTTAAGCCTATGGGAGAGCCGGGCTGAACTCCCGACCAATGAAAAGCAGGCACGCTCTCATTGCGTCAGAGCCTGCCAAAAAGGGCGTGGCTAGAGAGTATAAATTCGGCTCTCTCAGGCTGTTAAGTGGATTTTTTCAGAGCGAAAACGCTAGTAGCGCAAGCACGGCCAGGAACGCAATACTCTTTCCCTCATCTAGAGAACCGAGGTTACATTAGGTAACCGATTCGTTCTCTTACGAGAGGTTCTCTCGTATTGCGTAAGCTAGCTTACGCTACGGGAACACCTGGTCAACGCCGTGCGCGCTATGTGTCCACTAATGAGTCCCGGGGGGGGATCCGGGGGACCCTTATGAGAGGAGTGAATGTGAAGTGATAAGCCAGCAAAGCGGGCCCGTGATTGTGTATTACATAAGCACATAAGGGAAGCACAAGTGGCGAACCGGTTGTGAGAGTGCGGGCAGAGCCGATAGAGATAACCTGAGCCCTAAACGGGGTACCAATCGCTTTAGGCACATAGCCATGCCTAGGTTTGAGAATGACAACAGAGTCATTAGGTCCAAACTCAAGACACGCAGCGCTAGACGAGAGCCCGTGAAGGTCCCCCACATGTTTTACTGAGGACAGAGCAGTCAGAAAAAACGGTTTTATCGGTTGGATGGCTATATCGCCCTGATTGCTGCACAGAGCGGGCTGGACGCGGGGTGTGGGCACGCTTAAACTGTATGCGTCAACGGGACTTACACTCAGAGAGGAGTTTATGGGCCGTGAGACAGAGCAAGCAGAGAGGGAACACGCGCACAGGCTCGTGGTCATGCTTATGTTCTCTGATACTAGAGCGGGCTGTGCCCGCTCTGTGGGGATGGGCTATGTGAGAGACACGGGACTTGTGGTGCTTGTGTGTATGGGTGAACACATGATTGTGGGCTCCGGCGGCCTCTAGGAGCAGCGTTTCTTCTTCCGCGGCGAAGTGAGAGGCTGCGCGGGAGTGGTCTTGACGGCCTGAAGTCGTGCCTGCAGGGATGACAATGGCAGGTCCTCACAGTGGTCGCATCCTCCGTCAGCGAGGGCAAGCTTTGCGTGCTCCAATTCGAGTCAGAGGGCGCAGATGACATGGCGATCTCCGTCCACGAGTGGAGCGTGGCAAGAACCACAGAAATTTCGAGGCATCTTTAAAAAGACGCTCGAGCTCTTTTAGTAGGAAGAGGAAAGGATACACGTCGTCAGATGGCGCTAGCTTGCAGGGCGGCTGAAGGTGGTGAAGACGGCCGGCTTCTTCCGGAGCTCGCTAGAAGGTGCCTCGACTTCTTCTCAAACAGCAGAAGCGTGTAGCTCGCTGAAGGATGAAATAATCAACTTAACAGCCTGAGAGAGCCGAATTTATACTCTCTAGCCACGTGCCTGCTTCTCATTGGTTGCGAGTTCAGCCCGGCTCTCCCATAGGCTTAAGCAGTTCGCTCTGAGCAAACCAATGAGCTGCTAGCTAGCCCACTCATGGTCTGCTGCAGCGGAACTGCGTTGACAATGGATACAAATTATGGAATAATTTTTGGGCTTCAACTTCTTAGAAAAGATGAATCTTTCCCGTAGCGTAAGCTAGCTTACACAATACTAGAGAACCTCTCGTAAGAGAACATTGTCCGTCTGTTCGCTTCATTTCACTGAGGATTGTTTTGTAAACAAGACTGGATTTGCTGACCGATTAAAGGGTCACTTCACCCATTTGCATTAAGCTTTGTATCTTTAGAAACACAGTAATATTTTTGAATGGTCATGGTTTAGTCCCTTATTTTCCCCTGAGATGGGAGAAATAAGGATTTAAGTGTTTTACTTCCTGCTTATCGTGACGTAAAAATCGTCATTTTTTTTTCGTCACGATAAGCAGGAAGTCATATTTCATTAAAATCTTTAGAACTACATACATTAGCTCATTATTATTCCAGGGTGTTGGACCCACTCACCCTACAGGCCTATTACAGATCAGTGGGTGGGACTTCACTTGCAGAAACTGAAATCAATATCCGCCATCTTGTTTGGAACCTAAGCTAAGGCCCCGTCCACACTACTGCGTTTTCGTTTAAAACCGGAAAATTAAAACGAATACGATCTCCGTCCACACCAGCGTTTTATCTGCGTATTAGAAACGATCTCCGTCCACATTAAAACGACTGAAAACGCGGATCACGCGGATCACGAATGACGAATCAGGGAAGGAAACGTCATGACTGATAACACCCAATCATAGAGCCAAGCGGCAGCCTCTGCGTCAGCGTTTCTGAAGTTCTCCGTTTTGTCTCGTCCACACTAAAACGCCCTCCGGAGATTCAAAACGCAGCTGCAGCGTTTCTAAACTTCTCCGTTTTAGGTCTTCGTTTTTCCCGTTTTAGTGTGGACGGGAGGTGCAAACGTAGCAAAAGGTCTCCGTTTTTAAACGAAAACGCAGTAGTGTGGACGGGGCCTCACAAGCACTGTGGAGATAGTAAGTTATGACAATGATGGAAGAAACTAAACATGATATGGAAGAAGAGGATTTTGAAATTCTGCTGCTCGAATCTGAAGTTGGTGGTTATCTTTACGAGTCGCAGTATAGTCTAGAGCAGCTGAGGCTGATGGAGGAGCAGGAGACGCCGAGGCGGCGGCCTGACGCGGTCGAGGACCCCGCACTGACTCTGGCGCTGGGCGGATTGCTGTTGCCTGTACTCTCGCTGCGTGCTAAGGCCTACGGACACAGATAGAGTCCGTCTGCTGCAGAGAATTTCAACGATGGCAATTTCTCTGAATCAGACGAGACACCAGATTGTGTTGTGATAGTTTTGCCTGACTAAACATCCAGGTATCATGCAGTAATTCACCAAACAGGAATAAATACAAATGAGGAGTAATTCACTAATGAGTTTGCCAATGTAAGGTTAACAGGGTTTGTTGTTGTGGGAAGAAGGAGTCAGGAACCGGCAAACATTTAAGCATTTTAATAGTAAAATGAAAAATACAAAACGAAAGTATAAGCCAGCAGCCCCTCATTGGCGACTGCTGTAATGTTACACACAACAGAAACAAAACACAACATAAAATCAGGCCTGTTTCTCTCTCGATCTGCCGTCGTCGCTCCCCATTTTATGCTTTCGTTTCTCCGTGAGAGACGCAAGACCGGCACGTGCTTCACAGGTGTCTTTCATTATCAGTCTCTGTTATAACTCACGCCACCGGCCTCGCGCAGAGCGCCGTCCTCTTAAGTTACATCCCTCGCCCTCGATCGTCCTGCTCGCCACAGCCAACTAGACATTTTGTGTGAAATGAATCTCAAACTCCGGTGACAGCTAATATTAGCCTTGTAGACGGAAGAGTGAATTCTCTGTTTGCGCTGTTCCCATAGACAGGCTGTTCCGGATTAGTGGGTGTGGCTTGCTGAACTCTGCATTGTGGGACATGTAGTTTTTTCATATATTGGTGCCCCTTGGTTATTTTCTGTCTTTTCTTGGTCAAGAGGGCACCAAATTAAAAAATTATTTTACATTTCGACTACATACGTATATGATCCACTTTCAATAAAGATTAATGTTGCAATGGGTGAAATGCTCCTTTAAGATTAAAGAACGGTGCCGTCTAAATTGGATCTGACAGTAATGGTGCAACACACGGACTCTGGGTCGAACATGTATGGGCGAATCATTCCGGTTGCCATTTTACAACATTGGACGTTTTCAAAACAAGTGCATCGATGGGTGAGTTGTAGTGTTAATTTTACCAGCCATTTTTAAATTTAGTTTCAGTTTTAGTCCAGTTTCAGCATCGCTTGTTAGTTTTTATCACATTTAGTCGACATCATCCCATTTTTATTTAGTCTAGTTTTAGTCGACTATAAGTCGAGCATTTTAGTCTTTATTTTAGTCCAAGAAAACATAATTTTATTCGTTTAGTTTTAGTCAAAAAAAAACTGTCAACATTTTAGTCTAGTTTTAGTCAGGACATCATTTTAACCTTTTACTTTGTTGTCAGCAGATAATATTAAACATTTCCTAAAATTATTTCACATTTCAACATTTTCTCTCATCTTTTTGATAAAAAACACAATTTTAAGGAACACATGCAGACATGGAAGATGTA